TGTGTAATTCTGTATATTATTTTGTTTCCATGCTCACCCTTTGAGTACAACTCATTCATCAAACTATTCTTGCCATTACGTAACTCTTATTTAACAATCATTTATGACAACTCATCTCTTTTGTAACTACCCTCTTATATGAACATCCAATTCACCTGAACTTACTCCTCTTTAACAATCGTTTTTTGACAACTCATCACTTTTGTTGCTATCCTCTTATCAACATCCAATTCATTTGAACTTACTAACCGTATTTTGTTTGACAAATTTAATGTATACACACACACACACAAAATAACCATATATATTTGCGATTGTACAGCTTTGAAAATGAATTCGCCGAAAAGAGACTCTTTGCTGATCTACTTCTCTTTTGTCTACCAAAGAATATCAGTCAAACCCGTACCTACCTCAACTTCATCAACTTCGGAAAGGTCTTCACCAAATAGCATTGACTGAGAGGTGATTTGGAAACTACTTTAGCACTGTGGAGTGAGGTACCCGAAATACTTATCAACCTTATTCAACCACAGCTATATGACAGTGCCAGGTGTCAGGTGATCCACAACGGGAAACTCAGTGAGGCGTTTGAAGTGAATACAGGAGTAAGACATGCTGGTTACCTGAGAATTATCACCAAGGATGACACTCTTAATTGTGGTGGACTGGATTATGCGTCAGACTAGGCGCGTTGGGAGTGAGAAGGCACGAATATGTTGAACAGATGAGAAGACCCTAGAAGATCTGAACTCCACTCGTTATTGATTTATGTTTAATGTCACACAAAGTCGAAGACTTACAGGCGAAAACTGGCAACGAACTGGCTCACGAGTCTGGCTGGCTGGCAGTGAAGACAGGACTTCAGGTGAAGATAGAGAAAGTGGAGATGAAGATAGCCAACCAACAGCAGCAACAACAACAATAACCAGCACCAGTCACCATCAACGCGAGAGATTTAACAGAGGTTACTTCCTTCAGTTATCTGGCTAAGAAACATCGTTTCAACTACAGGCCGTTGGCATGAATGAGGACGTGAAAACCAGAATCGGAAATGCAAGACACACCTTCATCACTGTGAAATCAGTTTGCAAAATCTTCTGCACTCCACGTCAGCATCACAAACAACAAGATTCGGATTTTCGATAGAATTGTGAAGTCACTTCTTCTATACGGGTCAGAAAGTTGGCTCGCATGTCATGAAAAGGATTTCCAACAGGTTGCACACTTTTATCAATAACTGTCATATTGAAGATCAGATAGCGAGAAATAGTTGGTAACAAGAAAATATCGGAACAAACTGACCAAAAACCTAACACTCAAAAATTATACAGAAGAAAATGGAGATGGAGTGGGTACACTCTGAGGAGACCGTCGAATGACATTGGCCGCCATGCAGGCCATAGCTCGCTAAGCTAGTATAATAAGACTGGCGAACAGGGAAGCTTGGACATGAGGCTAGCAACCTGATCCTGTAAAAACAGACACCACCGCTACCGAAACTGCAAAGCTGTAGCTTGAAGCCCTATGCTGCATAGGGAATGTAAAGGAATAAAAAAAAAAGAATGAGAGCGATGAGGTTAAAGGAATAATTTCTATTGTAAATTAGTATTAGTTAGAGTGGTAGTGTTCACTAAAATGCTTTGAATATTTATTTCGCCTAAGTTTAAAATATTCACACAAAGTGGAGAAAACATCATAGTCAGCGATTTGAAGACTTAATCGACTTCACTTTCTTATGTAGTAATGAAATTAGAGTTAAATGGACTCAGTGTTTTCCACCTTCATCAGTTTGCATCTAAGATCATGATCATGGAGGTACTTCTTCTGTCTTTTAGTGGAGATACTAGTTTACGTGCTTCAGTTACTGAAATCCAGCATTCCCCATAGTGACTCCTTATATAATTTCTTAGAACTTAGACTATTTTTTATATGATATTGTCACTTTTTCAAAAGTTATGACGTTATCACTGATTTTCAGAGTTCATAGGCTTAAGTTCACCGCATAGTTGCTATTATAAAAGCAGTCACATGTGGGCTGAACCAAGTGATGTAGAAAGATCTCATTATTATTTAATCTCAATTATTCATGATGCTGTGCTGGTGTTGGACTTTTGGCCTGTGGGTCTAACTTATATGCCTAGTATCACAGCTACCCAGCTTCAGCGACTACTTACACTTCACACACTTCCCATAAACACAAAATGCGAATCATTGCTTATCTTCTCTAATGGAACGAAGAAAAATCTCAACCAAACTTAGAAATCAGCACTGAAATAGCACCAGCTGATAACATAAAGTCTCACTGGATGTGTGTAACTTGTCTTGTTTTGAGGGCATAGCCGTAGAGTGCTCACCGACCACGCAGGTAGTCCAGGGTTCGATCCCCGGCTGGTGCACTGCTTTACCTCGCCAAGCAGGCAATAAGATTGGTAAAGAGGGAAGGCTGAACATGAGGATAGCAACCACATCCTGTAAAAATAATCACCACTGCTACAGAAACTTCAGTTTTCGGACATACATCTACTTTTCACTCAGCGCCCAGTTTTTCATAAAAACTGCTACATTGAATCTTAATGACAACTCATTTTTTTGTTCTTTTACGTTCCAAGTGGAACAACATAGGGCTTCAAGCTAGAGACTTGAAGTTTCGGTAGCAGTGGTGATTATTTTTACAGGATGGGGTTGCTAATCTGCCTCATGCCCAACCTTCCCTCTTTAGCAGTCTTATTACTGGCTTGGCGAGGTAAATGAGTGAATGCATCGGGCGTGGATCGAAACCCTGACCACATGAGGCGTGGTCGGCGAGCATCCCATCACTGTTGCTGCTGCTGGATTCAACATAGAACTTGGCACCGAAGTGCAGCAGTTCGAGTTGCCATCACTGTGCCAACGACGCGCCGTCTATAGTATAATTCTATGCATATCAACCTCCAAATACTTTCTGTTTGATATCGGTTTTCAAATTGGTCAATTCTCTTGAATCTTTCCCTTTTTGTGTCTTACAAATTATCACCACTGGCTTAAAATCTATTCGTGTTGCAAAGTATTTGGAAATCATTTTAGCAACTGATCGCAATTATGAGTAACTTCGAAGTACATAAAACAAGCATATAAGGCGACTAAAAGCAAAAAAAAACACAAGGCGATGGCAGTAATGGTATCATCCATGATGAAGTGTAAATCATTTTTTCTTTTGACTTAAATTCCAGAAGATTAAAATCTCCCCCCCCCCAGTCCTCCAGTTAAGGTAATTTTATTCCTACACAAGTAATGCGGAAAACTGCAATCACTATGCGTGGAAATTTGATGTCTATATTCATCAAATCATGAATAGGAAACTCGTAAAAACCAGACTGATTCCAAACCTAACCGTAAGTGCTTCATTTACATCTTCATTGTTCATAAACTAATGAAAAAGAGAAAATCTTTAAAAGATTCTTTATCAGTGCCTATCAAAGGAAGTTCTATGGATGTCCTTAAATTAATTTCCCTATTAGCAAACTATGCAACTGCCTAGTCTTCTCATAGTAATTTAAAGTGTGGTGACGTAATGTTAACTAAACTTTAGGTGTATGGAAATTCGATTGATTTTGAAGTGGAAAAATAAAAAGCACTGGGCTAATGTTTCATCCAAGTTTGGTACTCGTCAGTAATTAGCGTTTCGAAGTCCTAATAAGGAGTTGTGACTGGTGGAGTCCGATGACATTAGCTGTAGAGATCTTATATCGAAAGAAACAGCAGGATCTTCACTTCATCTCATTGAGGAAATCTATACTGAGATATCAAACCCACATGATATGTTAGCCTTATACTATTTACATGAAAAAAATGTAATTCCTAATTCATTATTAGTGCGTCAGTGGCACGGAGGTAGAATGCTCACCGACCACGCCTCATGTGATTCGAGGTTCAATCCCCGGGCCACACACTGCCTTACCTCAATAAGTCAGTAATAAAACTGCTAAAGAGGGAAGGTTGGGCATGAGGCAGACTAGCAACCCCATCCTGTAAAAATAAACATCACTGCGACCGAAACTTCAAGCCTCTTGCTTGAAGCCGTATGTTTCACTAGGGACATAAAGGGAAAAAATCCACTATTATAAATTATGACACGCTACAAAAACCAACAGAAAGTGAACAACAGACTTTAATTTCTTATATTAAATTCACGATTAATTAATATCTCTCATAATACATTCAGATGCAGAATAAAAACTCAACTGTCTGCATTTTCACAATTGAAAGAGAAAGACGCAGTGGAATGGAGACGCATATAATAAATAAAAAAAAGAAACAAAACATAATTTCTTTTAAATCATAATACTAACAGAAACGCCTTGTGCCTCAGGATGACGATAGATATTGTTTGATGTTTTTTCAGCTTTGATATTCGATGCACAGAGTTTCATCAACAGCCTCGGTAAAATATTTAAAGAGAAAAACATCTTCAGATATATATATATATATGCTGAAGATGACATTGTCAAGCCTAGTAATGAAATATGCATGTATCAAGAAGCATCAAAGCTCAGAGAACACTATCAAACAAACGATCTCTACATAATCTTGTCTAGTTTATCCGCCCCCTCACCACAAGACAAAAGTAAAATACTGGAAATAAAAAGCAAAAGAAGAAAATATGCGGAAATACTACAAAATTCAAACAAAAGTTCAATATTCATTATAAAATTATTAAGCTATATAGTTGAGGATTCTAAATATCATAAATAGTGAGTATAGAGTTACAAAAAAAGACGGAAAATTTGTCAAAATACTGAAGAATAAGAAAAATTATAAAATAATAACAGCTCACGTTATCACATCAGATAAAAAGACAAATAAGAAAAAGAAAAGAGAACTAATGTCAGGGTGGTCTTTATTATTATTATATATTATTATTATATTATACCGAAGTCAACAGCAATCAGATAATACAAAGCAACTATAAATACGAACCACATTATCTTACAGATACAAAAGACATTAATAACATATATGTATTAAAAGAATTGTGTATCTTGACTAAAACTTCCAGCCATTTTTAAATGTGTATAACTCGATGTCTTTTTATCATAAGCCAATTCAATGAATAGACGTTGTGGACCTAGGCGACTAACTAATGGATTAGGATAACCTAATTCAGTATAAAATATATACACTTCCATATCTGGACGTCTTAGGTCAACTGGACGATTCGGTGGTATCCACGTTTGTGGTACACTGGTGAAATGGAATTTGCCTACTTCACTGTCAGCTAATTCAGCCTGTTGAAATAAAGAAGAAAAGAAAATAAAGATTAGGATAAGATGAACACGAAAGAAAGTTGGTCGAAATGTTTTCTTTTTCAGATGAAAAAAAAACAAAACAAAACAAGTATTCCATAATTTTCAAAAAATACCAGAAAAAACAAACATTGTTTTACATGATATATCTGATATATCTAGTAGTCTGAAGAGAAACGGGAGAAAGTGAGAGACAGAGAGAGAGAGAGAGAGGTGGGGGGTTGGGGAAAGAGGTGACTCGTTTCATAACAACAAAAAAGACTACCCGTCAGACAGTGCTATGCTATAGATTAGCTGTCATTCAAAATGTGCCTTATTCATTCTTAATTCTCCTTTAATTTAGAGACGAGAGAAAACACCATATAAATTTGAACGGCGCCTTAATCCCAAAGTTTTATTGAATAACTAATCCCTGGATTAATTGTCACATCCTCATTTGGTAATCAGTGTTCGTTAGTATGGTATACGTGCTTTGGTGATACACCATCAGAGGTGGTTGTAATACCAGGTGTATTTTATTACTACGGGGAAAAGATAGATTGTGATGAAAATCCTGATTGTGGAAGTATTAAGCCATTGAAATTAGATGATATGACGACTTACCACTGTTTATATTAAACGGAGGAAAATGGTAATTCATGCAAATATCCGACACAGTGCCAGGTGAGAAATGCAAAATGATGTTATGGATCTCAATCTACTGCTCTCCCCAAATGTCATTATTAATTGGAGTGGGATCAAGTTGGAAAACAGTAAGGTGTGGTCAAAGGCAAACATGTCACTAAACTATGCGTTCTGTGACTCTTCGCCCAAACCAATAAAATCAGGTGTAGGGTTATTTCTTTGGCATTTTCAGGATATAGAGAATCAATCACTGGAAACTGTTGGTGATATGAATGGAAATTGTTCACAGTGGTATAGGTGTATTACACTCAGATACGAAAAACACTATCACAAACATTCACCACACTGATGTTTCTGTGTTATTATTATTATTCCCTTGAGTTGCGATTCGAACATAGTGCTTCAACAGCACATCCTTGTTTCATCCTGTTCTCTGCAGTCCATTTACCTGGCTCCGCTATCGGCCATAAGCTCTCATCTCCTCCTCACACGATCTCCTCCATATCACCCTCGGACGCCCAACTCGCCACCTTGTTCCCAATAACACTAAACGATCTCAGAGTGTCGCATTCATCTCCATTTCCATCGGCATATTTGTTGGGCAATAGGTTCTTGATTCACTCATCGAAGCCGTGTGTTCACTGCTTGAGGATTCTGCTAACTTGTTGTTTATTTTGCTTATGCATATTCTAGTTTACATGACATTAGACATAAGTCGTCCGCGAAATGTAGATCTTCTAGCCTTTTCTTATCAGTCCAGCGTATTCCTGTCTTCTCGCTCCCCATTTGCAGTCCACCACAATAAGGAATATATCGTCGCCTTCTCTTACTCCTATTATATTCACTCCAAAGGCTTTGCTGAGTTTTCCGTTGTGGATCACCTGACACGTGGCATTGTCATATAGCCAGATGTTGAATGAAGTCGATATAGATTCGGGCACTGCACACCGTAGTAATGAAGTGCTTTCCAAATTACTTATCAGTCAACGCTACCTAGTGAAGGCTCTTTCGAAGTCAATGAAAGAAGTTGAGGTAGAGACAGGTTTGATTGCCATTCTTTCCTCTGTTAGATGATGATGCGTAGAGTTGCTATTTGATCAGCACATGATTTACTTTTCCTGAATCCAGGTTGTTCTGGTCAGTGGGGCGCTGTTCTGTATCCAGTACATCTTTTATTCTCTCCACGATGATGTGACTTAGTATTTTACTTGGGGCATTATTCCACTCCAGTTCTTGAACAGGCCTAAGTCGACCTGCCATCGTAGTTCGGGAAGGTAGCTTTCCTTCCAGTCAGTAGGTACCCTTCCTTACTTCCAAACCTTTTTCAATAGTGCTAGGATATCTGCCGCAGTATCTGGGTCCGTTTTCAGTGCTTCAGGAGGAATTTCGTCCTGTCCTGGTGCCTTCCGCGCCTTCACTAGCCTGATAGCATTCAAAAACTTCAGCTTTTATTGGAGGACTTGTGTTCATTGGCATTTCTGGATACACTGTAAGCGAAGGTCCTTTTAATTGATGAGAACAATATTCCCTTAGCTTCTCCTCTTTGGTAATTAGGATCCTATCACCATCATTGATTTTACCTGTGCTGATCGTTTCCCTGATAACTTTCTGAATATCTGATGTAATATTCTGAAGTCTCTCTAACATGCAGGCTGTTGTGCTTCAGTTTCCAGTGTGTCGTACAATTGTTTTTTGTCTTTCCTAGCACTCGTCTTCACTTCTTTCTTTCCTCAGTGACTAGTATATTGAACTCAGTTTCTGTTTCCAATGTTCATCTTCTGTTTCATCATATCCTTCGCCTATATTATCGTTCAGGTGTCATTGCTTGTTTTGCCTCTTCTTCCTTCTTAAGACAACACTACACAGGTCTCCACCAATATCACTTTCAGAGAGCATCAGTGTTCTTCCACACAGCTTCCTTCAGTGATACTACACAGTTTCTCCAACTTTGTCCTGATGGCTGCTGTGAACAAGTCCCTTGTGGTTTGATCCTTCAGTTACTGAGTGTTGAACCTAAATTGTGGTCTATCCTCAACTGTTCTGTAGGTCTTGAATTTGACCCTGAAAGCGTTTTGCACTAGATAGTCGTATGATCCCACATCCACTCTTCTTCTCTATTTTGTGTCTACCACACTGTCTCCACTTTCTTGACATTCACATGAAGCCTATCTGATTTTCGGTGTGTCCGTCAGGTGAAACCCAGCTTTCACTGATTCAAACATCATGCGAACACTCCATGTCCTAATGCTTATTTTCACTTCCAGTGAAAGAATACACATTCGCTGACTGGCTTCCCTAAGGCCTTCACGAAACCCACTTCGTTCCCTCTCTCACCTTCCAGCGAAGAATATGTAGAATTTTTTCCCATACTTTTGCTGTGTTTTGAATGTTCTGTGGCGAGTGGATTGGTTTTCAGGTGTAAGGTCGCCCCACGCCCAACCTTTCCTCTTTTTCCAGGCTTAGGACCTACCAGTAAACCATGCGAGGTTTTTGTCTGTTATGCTGTCACAAAGTTTCTGAGATCTTTTTATAGGTGCTTTGAAAAAGTCTGAAAATTTAAGTTGATGAAGTTTGAAATAGGATAAAAGTCAGCATAACATATAACAAAGTGAAAAGAAATTAGCACAATCAGAACTCAGTTATCCACAACGGATTTTTCATGTACACAATATCTCTTATGAGAGTTTATGATAATACCCAGAGTTGAAGTAGGTAGAACGAAATTCGAATCTGGGATACTTTGTATGAAAGGTTAGAGTTTGGGTCAACGAGGCGAATATCCCCCCGAAAAAAACCATTTAGCATCTGGACAACTATTTCGACGACTTACTTAGAAGGCTCAGTTTGTGAGGTACATCAACCCGTTGACTATTTAGCACATAAATGGCTTATAAGGTTGCATTATAAGATTTATAATTCACTGACTGAAGTATTAATTAGACATGTAACCTACCAAAAGGATTCTAACGAGGGACCTATTGAATGAAATCCTAATGTTTAAGCCAACCAGCCACATCTGTATAATAAATTTATTGTATACAAATATTGAGCAGTCTTACTTGACAGTTGTATTTTAAAAATTCTGTTACCTGATAAATTATGATAACAGAAAGACCACTTTTTTTTACTTACAGGCACACATTTGTCAAATAGAGTTTCAAGAAATGCTAAGATCATATTAGTAGAAACTTTAGTCCAAGGCAGATCAATCCAACTACCGAATATGTATGGTTCGAATGTACAATTGTCTTTTTCTTTTAAATTCATATTACTGGATAAATGGCACAAGGCGTCTAGAAATGAGTTTGATGATAACAAATCACCATGGCCTAGTGAAAGGAAAAAAACAAACAACAAATTAGTTGGAGGATTTCATCATGAGCTGACATCAGTTAGAAAAACACTGGAAAACCAACTGAAAGTACTGGATAGCTGTTTCCATTGCTCTAGTTCGGGAGTCTACATCAGTACGCACCCACCACCATAGGACCGAACCCAGGACCTTCTGGTTACAAGGCAAACTAGCTCGTAGACCATTAAGCCGCTGCTGAGACCCTATTTAACTGTCAATGAATTCTAACTTCTTTTCAAAAATTTAAAACAATAAGTCCCTTTTATATATTTGGATAGCGTTATTAGAAGACGGAGATTATCTGAAAAATGTGATGCATTTGCGCTATGCATTTCGAACAATCTGATCACATATTTACTTGTCAAGTCGATATATATGATGAAAAAATTAAGGGCAATTAAATTAAACAAATTGACAAAATAAAAGAAAAAAGATTTAAGAATGATTAACACAACGTTTGGTAATCCAATGAAATAAGGATTATCAAGGTAGGTTGATAGTGATAATAAACTGTTTTTGAATACACAGAGGGGGCTTAAGTTTATGAATAGCTATAGCCTCAGCGTATTTCAATAAGCGCCCTTGACCATTTTTATAGATGACCTTAAAGGGTGGGTTAACATCAATCTTATAATTCATTTCGATTAGATGTTTAGCTATAGACGAAGTTGGTAGTCTGACACCTGCTTCTATTGGTTTTCCACAATTCATTTGTATTTCTAACCATTTCGGGATATGCTCTCCCACCCTTACATGTAAGGCACGTTACTCCTCCCTATGCATGTGTCCACACACACGAAAATTGGTAAATAGTGTGTGATGTGACATAATCACTTGTGCACTTTTGAGGTTTGCAGTGGAGCATATTTTTGGCTTTTTGGACAATTACAAGCTGGGCTGCATAATAGGTCCTACGGACGACCGAACTCAACCTTTGCCTCAGAATCCTATTGTTTATTTCCCCGTTATATGGTAACTTGATGAAGACATTTTTCTCAGGGGCGGTATAGATTGTAGGTTTAAAGACTAATTGACTTCTACACCTGTTTAAAATGTTTTAGAGGATATCCATCAATATTTCATTTTCTTTGTCTATGACATCAGCCGTGCAAATACGCTGAATTAGTAAAAAAGTTGAATTAGGATTCACAAGTGATAATTACCGCCTTGAAAAACTTATTGTTTCTTCACACTGACTCATTCATCAAATATTTCTTCTAGACTGCATTGTACACTTTAATCACCATAGTCTATTAGAATATAGGCGAAATAGCTGGATAATGATGGCCGTTCAGAATCTTACAGTAATACGCTAAGACAACTCAGTCTTTATATAATAAGTGTGGCTTGCTGCCACGCCAAGTGAATAGCCACACATGTAATTCCTGAATTACATTTTACTTTTTTTTTAAACTTTTATTGTAAGTCAAGAGGAAAAAAAGGAAATGGTTAAATTTACTTATCTTCAGTTCAAACCATCTCAAACACTCATACACCAATTCAAACACTTAGACGGAAAAATAATGCAACCACGCGCGCTCTCTCTCTCTCTATTCGTTTCAAGCTCAAAACAGTCCAGAAGGTGAATAGACTCAAGAATACAACCTGTAGGATGAGATACACAATAACAAGACCATTTTGAAAAAATAAATTCAGAATAAACTGGAAATCTCAGGTTACTGAACAATAATTCACATTTACATGCAGCTAGAAAATGAACCATATTCTTCATTGTCTGTAATGAGTTGTTGACGATACTAACCTGACCAAACTTCAGTAGGTAGGAGTGGGGTTTGATCCAGTAGCTGAACATTAATTAGATATAACCTGATAAAGTTTCTGGTTTATAGAGCCAGGTTGATCTTTTCAGATGACTGCCTCAATGAGGAGCTTAAGATTATTAGAGAATTACTTAGAAAAAAAATGGTTATCCAGATAAACTCATTGAGAAAAATATGAATTCAGCACCTAGGAGAGTCAGTATAGCAACAGTTCCGAAAAACCAATGTTCATAAAATTGCAGTTCCTCGGTGACAACATCAGAGAAACAATAACACAGAGCCTGAAGAATGCAGTTAAAAGAGCTTATTATGCAGCAGAGGTACGTTGTCTCTTCACAACCACCCCTATTCTATGTTCGAGAAATAAGGATAAACTACCTAAATTTGCCTCCTCCTCCAGTTTGACTGCAGCTGCGCAGCCAGCTACATTGGGCGTACAATTAGGCAGGTTCATCGTCGTATTTCCCAACATCATCCAACATGGTTAAGCAAGGGACAAACAAGATCTATTCGTAGTTCTATTTTAGCACACCTTGTAGACAGTGAGCATAAAGTTGATGTCAATACAGCATTTGAAATTATTTATCGCATTCCTACTAATCTTTATTTTGCTCTAAGAGTTCGTCTTCTACACACAGCTGAAGCAATAGGAATCCACCTGAAGAAGCCAAATTTGTACAGCCACTTTCCTTACCGTGGCCATCGTTACATGAATGTGTAAACCGGACCATTTCGCCCCCATCCCACTAAACCTTTAAAATTATAAAAATTATAATTGTCCAAAATACTTTATTTTTTCTGACCACTTCATCTTTAATTACGTGTTATCTTTGTAAAATTAATTTATTCTAACCATTTCTACCTTTTAATTGTGTGTATTGGTTTTCTTCGTTAATTATCAACCCATTGACACTTTGACACTAATTATTGTTAACAAACATATCAGCGCGACTTGATTGGTAAACTGTTGTGTATTGTAATAAAAATGCTATACAGAATATATTAGAGTAGAGCCAGATAGAGATGAGGATCTAATTGAAAAGTAAATATTTCTTCGTTCAATCTTTCTGTTTTCTAAATCGAAGAAGCACAGTCCCATAGAGTGCACATGTTTTAACAATAACTAACCCCATCTATGATGTTTTTAATAATTTAATCAACAATCTATTTTGGATATATTTTCAGACCAAGTAAAAAAAGAAGAGAGAAACTTACCACAAATTATCGCATTCGAAATTAATTCATTTAAACATGTTATTTCAGTTGACAATCGAGAAATCAGTGCTAGTACATCACAGAATACCGAGTAGGGAAACTAGGAAAAGTGAGAATGAAAACCAAACCAAACCAAAAATAATTGATGTTAATTCTTAAAAAAATGGTATACATAAAGTGTTGAAGGAAGTTACAACAAGAATCTGTGTTTCAGATCATCAATCCACCGAATATCAGGCTATTTCAATGAATTTAGCCTAGAATCAACGACCAGCTGCTACTGTTATATAAGTAAATATGGTGAACAGTAAACCAGCACATATTCACACAACAACTGAGTTAAAACCTTGAAGATTGGAGAGAATTTGAAACCAATAAGTTAGGCTGTATAGGTCGTTAATCATCTAGGACATCAAACGCAAAGAACATATACGGGGTACTTGGGCAATTATTAATAAAAAAACAATTACATAGTCGAATAAGTCACTGTGAAGTAGAAATATTGAAACAATCGACCACTTCTTCATAAGTTAATGTGATACTTAAGAAAAAATACTGCATTCTAATTTCTTTTTTGAAGTTTCTGCCCACTTTCTCTAGACTGACAATGTAAACTCAAGAACTATATCGTTGAACAAATGAAACTTGATTCGAACTGAAATGAAACAGAAAGAGCATTAGGGATGCACAGCCGTAGAGTCCATATCACAACTACTTGAGACCGATCACACGTAGGCTTTTAGAAGCTGTGCCCGTATGAAAACTTTACAGCTGGCTAAGAACCAGTGAGGGATGGTTTGGAATGAACAACTTCTGCGGATGACTTTTTCTAATTCCCCCCCCCTCATCCCACAGCGAAGTAGAATAGGCAGGTTTCTACTAAACCCCTATTCGCCAACAGTACGAATATTCCATTGGGTACCCAATAGAGTGTATACGATGTACACTATTATACTAACTGCTTCCAGTCTAACTACTATCCAGAAAACATTTCAGGCTTAGTAGGACCTACAAGAACATCCGTTGCAGCTAGTGTAGCTCGTTGGGTCACTAAAATACGGAAGGCTATTCACCAAGTCAAGACCACTGAAAGTGGAAGACATGAAGAAGGTGGCTGGCTATCTTTGACTACATATGTTTGCGTTCTATCTCCCGTGTTACGTGGTTCAATCTATTGAGTACTATAGAGGTTAACAGCAGTGTTTTAGGTAAGGTGGGCAAGTCAATCAATTATGTTATGAAGCTATATCTAGCCACCGCCTTATTCGTTGAGCAGTGTTTAATGAGTTTTGATCAAGTTCGAAAAGAGTGATAGGTGGCAAAGTCGAAACCGATAATCAATTCATGAAAAAAAAAACTGAATGTTGCTTTTAATCATGTAGGAAGGTGAAGAAGATGGCCTGGTTCAGTTCCTTTGGACGCTATGCACCAATAGAATGAGACTGTTGGTGATATGGATTAAAATCGTTCTAAACGGCGCTGATGAATTCATGGTGTGTAGTCTCGCAAGTCCATGAAGTCCAGGCAACTTGAACTGGTGCGCGCTGTAACTCAGTCAGCCAGTCAGTTCGCCATTGTGGTGGTCAAGTGAAATGAAACACATCAGACTACTATACGCTGAGTCAAACGTGTTTCAAGCCTTCTTTTAGAATAACATCACACATATAGTCTGCAAAATACTGAGCAATTGGTCAATGTGTCAACTTTTTCAATCGATAGTGAAAACTCAACTGCTTGAAATTTAGTTATTTAGTTGAGGAGGAATGTGTGACACAAGTCCTGTCAGATTTAGGATTTGTTCAACAATGGACAGTGAGAGAATATGCTGCTACTGTGAGATACCAGAATCAAGCACCCATCACCTTATATAATTTTATCCGGACACAAACGACGTTTTTTATTTCGTTAAAAATCCACTTCAGAAAAACGTGTTCTTGTACAGATAGGTGTAAGGCGGAGGATGTTCTCAGCTTGCGGTAAACTTTTATTTAAATAACTCTAGACAAACATATACAACATTCGTTACAGGATTTCATCATGAGCTGACATTTGTTAGAGAACCATTGGAAAACCAACTGGGAGTACTGGATAGCTGTCTAATCCCAGTTTGGGACTCTTCACAGTACGCACCCACCACCAGAGTTCGAACCCAGGATCTTCTGGTTACAAAGCGAGCTCGTAGACCATTAAGCCACTGGGACCCGACACAATGGCCCATGAAATCTAACTTGTAACCGGAAGGTCCTGGGTTCAAACCCCGGTGGGTGCGTACTGTGAAGAGTCCCAAACTAGGACAACAGAAGCAGCTGTCCAGTACTCCCATGTTTTCCAACGGTTCTCTAACCAATGACAGCTCATGATGAAATCCTGTAACCAATCAACCAAATCCCCACAAACCAATACTTGAACATACAACATTCATAATAATCAATGACAACAAAGTATTAATAATAGTATTCACGAACACAGGAGAGATAAACAAACTCACACTGGACTTATTATCGTTCGAAGTTTTTTCTTCACTTGACATTGATTTCATTGAACGAATGCTTAGTAAATCGTACACTTTTTCATCAAGTTTTCTTAGTAAAGAAGAATACCAGTCTGACAATTGAGGATGTGGGACTGAGAATGAAGAGAGAAAGTTGATTGAGATATATGACTAAATCGAATTTCAGTAGTACATACAATTTAATTTAATTTTCCTTTGTAATGGACAGTGAAATTTAGTGTCCATGCCTCATCATCCCATTTAGGGCTTATCAGCTAGATATACATATATCTCAGTAGATTATTTTCCGTTTCCATCGCTCAACAAGTAGTATGTTGGCGAAAATGGAGATGGATCGGTCATACGTTGGGAGGGAGGGCGTAGAATGACATCGCGCCACATGCAGGCCATCGCTTTGGTGGGTCGTCGGTACGAGAGTCACATGGAGGAGATCATGTGAGGAGGAGATGAGAGATTATAGGCAACTGTGAGGCTAGTCAGCTGAAGAGGAGAGCACAAAATAGAACAAAGTGGGGATGTGTTGTTGAAGCCCTATGTTCCACTTGGAAACCAAGGGTGGCACAGCGGTTAGGTCTATCGCTGACCGTGCACATGGTCCGGAGTTCGATCCTCTGCCGACGGTCACCCGATATGAACGCTCGGCCTGCAAAATTTGGGCTACCGATGTCACATGCTGAGAATTCCATACTTGTACCAAAAATACTGTGTTGTTTCAAGCTATATTCAAAATAATTAAAAAAACAAATAATATCATATATTGAGTTTTTAAAAGAAAACTGCCAACATATACACTTGCTGCTTATTTTTATAATTTTCTTTGGCGGTATATTTACCTGATAGGTAACAAATAAAAGGGTTTTAAAGAAATCAGTATTTGAATGAATATACGGCACCACACCACACCAACCTGTCTACCTACCTACCTACTTACCTACCTAATGAATGAAATGTAAGTAGACACTCCAAAATAATATGTGGAAGCAGAGAATGCAAATGATACTGCAATGGACGTGATTTAAACCAGTTCAGTATTGTTTCTGCTTCAGAAAGTGCCTCCTTTCTAGCTGTTCAAAATAAATAAATAAATAAATAATAGTAATAATAACAATGAAATTAAACAAGTTGTAGTAATCAGAAACAGTAGAATGATATGTGTTATTCATCTTTAACAAGAGAAAGAAGCAAAACTGTTGTTGTATACTGTGAAATTTTATAGAGTAAAGCTGTCGTCCAGCACTAACTGATTCTCCCCATGATCAAACTTGAAAAAAGGCATGCTTCCTATGAATCTCTTCAGTGGACAGTCTCCAATCAAATTACATTTGTTATGAAAGTGCGTCGGTGGCATAGCGCTTAGGACGCTAGCTGACCATGCATATGGTCCGGGGTTCGATCCCCGGCCACAGACGCACTCCTCCTTTACCTCGCTAAACCACAAATAATGCTGGTAAAGAGGAAAGGTTGGGCATGAGGCTACCAACCCCATCCTGTAAAATAAACACTGCTACAGAAACTTCAAACCACTAGCTTGAAGCCCAATGTTCCACTGGGGAACGTGAAGGAAATGAAAAATGAAAGTAACTCGTCAAAATGTCAGCGATCCACTACAGTTTCATGAACTGGACACCATTATTAACATTGACTAACCATCAACTCAGACCGTGGATACAGAATAGGCATCATTATTATCAAGTATTCAGTAACTCTTTTATTTAACCATTTTCTAATATTACTATTCAAATAATCTTCGACATTTCGTGCATTAAAGAGGAAAGATAATCATAAGATTTGAAAAATTTATATAAATTGCTTACAACATGTATCCAACCATTGGGAGTTTTGTTGAGAATTTTCAACATCATGATATGATGAATGACTTTCATCGTAGGCGTCAAAAAATGCTTCACCATCTTCATCTTCATCGTTGCTACTGATACTTTGCGAAGGAATTTTACTATTCTTTGATGTTGTATTCTGTTCACCTTCACGAGCTATATATATGTGAGAATAATGTAAACAAAAAAGAGGTTAACATTACACTTAACCTTCCGAAAACAAATACGGGCCAGAAAGCTATTGAAAATTCTATCACAAACTATTATTAATTCGGGGAACACCTTGTAGGATTATTTTTGTCCTACAGATTTAGTCCTTCCTCAATACTGACGACACAGAGTCTGGGCTTTACTATAGTTAAAACAGAATGACTTGACTTAAACTTTATCTGTTTCTAAAACATAAAATAAATCATACAATTACACCAAGAAAATGTACAAATCCACTGTCATTCAAAAAAGGACAAAAACGTACCGAACAGTATTGAAGGTATGGACAAAATGAACAGTTAATTAATTACATGTACACACAAATTGAGTGACAGACAACAAACAACATTCAAGGTCACATCACGTGGTGAGAGTTACAATAAATTGACCAATAATCGCGACAAGAAGGTCACATCATATTGATTAGCTGTCTATCATATAGTCTATCTATCTGTCGCGATTAACACTCCCCGCGAACGATCACCACGTTGACTTCTCGTACCTGGAACCTTAAAGTCGTCTGCTTCTTCCAACAAACATAAGCTTCCCATATCTCGTTCAACTTCTTGAGTTGCAGTTTTCACCTGCACCGTCTTGACGCGGCCATCTTGGTCATAGTACATCTGCTCAACTATAGTCTTTGGCCAGAGACCTCTCTGTGTGTCAGCACTGTTAACTAGGACGAGATCACCAGGTTGTGGGTTACGCTTCATATCCAACCACCTAGATCTTGTTTGCAGCATCAGAAGATATCCACGTAGCCATCTATGCCAGAACAAATCAGTCAAATACTTTGAAGGTAGTTGACTATGGTGTGGGAAGAAAGCACATCCATCTATAGCATTCGCTTTACCTTTGTAATATTGTAATTTTATTAAGAATTCACCAATTGCTGAACGAGCCGCAGTTAAAAGCCTTTTTGGAACGACTACTTCATCTGTACGTACCATAAAATCGTCAGCTTCAATCAAAACTCGCAGAATCGCATAACAAGCACAGTAATGTGCTTGACACCATGTTCCAATGTCAACAGCATTTTTGTTGGAGAATAAAACTCCATGGAAGTTACAACTGAAGGAATCATTGACAACCAATTAATATAGACTACATCTGAGACATCGCCTTGAACACAGTCGGTAGTCAAACCGAACTGCTCCAGAACAAGAGGTAAATCAGATAAATTAATTCCAACGCACTCAGCTCGACACTTATCTATTGCAGATGAAAGGTTTAAAAACTTGCTGTCATACGTTTCTCCTGGTTCACACCAACTTTTTACAGGACCTCCATTTATGACATATTCAGTAGTTTTCGTGTGGAAATTTCGTTTTCCATAACAATCACGCCGAAACAGTTTACCTGAACCATATCCCATCAGTTCATGAAGTTCGACTTGTAATTCAAAGGAACTTTCAGCATGTTCCACGTACATTTGCTTGTCTTCATTACGTAGAAATTCTGGTTTAGGACCCTCGAGACGAACACTAAGTACATTATTCAAAGAAACATTTTTAAATCCATCAACTTGTCGTACATCATCATAGTTAGGAATATTAGTTCTGACAGGAATTCCAGCAGTTGCAAACGTCACTACATCCAAACTAGTAAAGTCTGGCTGTAAGAAATTAACCTTTTCAAATGTAGAAGGCCATGGTAAATTTGTTAACAACCTTTCAGCATTATTTACAAGTCGTTGGAATTTTTTAGACACTGATCTATTTACAACAGCGACAAAGGATTCAAACCTTGCACGAACACCAAAGGGATCACGGTATGACTCTATAAAACCAATGTAGTTTTCAACAACAGGGTTCTTATCTTTAACCCATAACCTGAAGGCATCTTTGTGAGTGGCTACTGAGCCAGTAGTGAAGCTTTCAGCAAACTGATGCCACATTTCTGATTCGATTTGGTTAAGCGAATGTGCTTTAAAATCTTTACAACAATCGACTAATAACTTCATCAGCTCACCATAGTCACCATATTCAAGCTGCAAAGATGTGTCCGAGGGAAGGGCATCTCTTAACTTCTCACGACTTTGACTTAGAGGGACGTCATGGTAACGTTGGGCTAACTGTCTTTGTTTTACTTGGATAATAGGAGCGTCGAAATGACCTTCTGCAGCAAGCGTGTCAGCCTGGACTTTGAATGCATCTATACCTTCACGATGAGCAGCTACATCAGATTCAAGCAAGTTGTGCCGCTTTTGTACGTTCATCACACCGTTTAGATCACGACCGACATCCTCTGAAGCTATCTGAGCTTCAACATCATTCAACCATAACTCGACATCTTCTACGTTGCGAGCGAACTGTTGTTGCCTACTTGCTTGATCTAACTTTTTCTTCTTGTCTCCCATGACATTTACGAGATGAGACCAAGTTTCATCCAACTGTTCAATCTTTACTTTTATTTCTGGTGAGTTGTAGTGGTTTCCATTTAACAAATCCTGACCTGTCTTTTTAATACCTACAAAGCGGGATTGGTTCACTTGTATTTCTGCCTCGAAATTCTGATGCTTCTGCACCTTTGTTTGCAAATTCGTGGAGTCTTTGTAACTTTCATCAAGTGCATTTCTAAGTTTTCCTGATATCCATGACTGCATTTCATCTCCACCTCTATCGAACATTTGGTAACGGTGGGAATCTTGAAGACGCTCACGGGGGTTCTGAGCTTTCTCCTTTAATGCATTTCGTCTATTTTGAAGACCTTCCTGAATCTCATGAACCTGTGCAGCCGCATAGTGGTTTGATTCGATTAAGTTTGCAGCGAATTCATCAAGTTGTCGCATCTTTTCTTCTTGTGCTAAAAGCGACTTTTCGAAGTCTTCATGTTTCCTTATGAGTGCTTCCACAGAATTGAGTGAGTCTCCCACATCTTTTATTTCTAGGAGGGCCTCTTGCTTACCAATTCAAGATTCCGACTGTTCAGCATCGCGGTAAAAATACTGAAGGCCCATACACTGTTCTAGCTGTTCACGTCTTTCCTCACACAACTGCATTAGGGAGGCTCTCCCTCTTTCAAGGGTGGAAAGTTTAGCAGCTATGTCTCCACTACAGGGATGGCCAACTCTTTGTAATGCCTGACCTTCTTGCATGCATGTATCGAAACTGTCAGCTCGAGAATTTATTTCAGCGGTGTATTCCTTATGTCGCTCTACTTGGGCTTCAGCAACAGCTACATCCTTTGCCAAATCATCCGCCGATATTAACGTCTTCAAGTCATTCATCCAGATGATCAAGTCTCTCCAGTCAGCCAAAAAGCGATGCATCTTGAATCACTCTTCCAGTTTACCTCTCCTACCTACAGCCTGACTTTTCAGCTTATCCCATGCAGTGATTAATTCGTGTTACTTGTCTCGTACAGTGTCTTGCAAATCAGGATGCTTCTGTGCAAGCGCCTTAGCATCATCTCCAATTTGAACAATCTTTTTATCTGGGGCAGTCAAATCCCTTTCTAATGCTGCGTGCTTCCTTTGTAAGGCTTGGACTGAGGCAAGATCACGACCACAGTCCTCAATGGATAAAGGAATAATGGACTTTTCATTCAACCACGATATAGCTCTACCTATGTCTCTATAGAAGCGCTGTATCTCATAGGCTTCCAAGCGCTTTCCTTGTCATTTTCTAGCCAGATCCTTCAGACGTTCTAGAGCTTCGCGGACCTTTCTGGACTTTTCTATGACTAGGGCATCCTCAGGAAATTCCTCTTTTAGAAGTTCATCTGCCTTCCGATAGATATCTTCGGAACGACTTTCTTGATACTCGAGATCCTTTATAAACTCATCAAACGTTTTTTGAAGTGTCTCAACATCTTCCAAGTCTTGACCTAAATCCTCTGATGTTACGTAAGTTTCTTTTTCACGTATCCAGAAAAGTATCTCGTCGACTTGGCGTAAAACTGGACAAATTTAAGTGTTAGATTAATAAGACGTGATTTTTCTCTGAAAATAGCCATAAGCCTTTCCCACAGGGCATGCAATTCATCAAGACGGTTTTTGATAATATCTGTTGCGTAGTGTCCCTGACCAATCATTTCTTCTCCCGCAGAATCCAGAGCCGACAGTGTTTCAGCATGAACTGTTACTTCGAACTCAAACTCTTGATGTTTCTGTTTTTTCAGCTGGAGATTACTGAGTTCTTAAAAATTCTCATTTGCATAGCTTTGCAGTTTTTCATTGATCCAACAATCAAGTTCATCGGCATCCATCTTAAAATACTGATATCTTTTAAGCATGTCCAGAAACTTAGATAGGCCTCTGGCGAACTCATCGTTAAGAGATACAGAGACTTTATGAGAAGTAGAAGGTTTGTAAGGCGATTTATTGTGACAAGAACATTCGCGACTACCTTGTCGTAATCTTTCTAATTCCATTTATTCCTCTTTTTGGACTATGCGCAATTTCGATAGCTCCAATTCTACCATATAGTGTGATTTATTCTCGTTGCTTCCAGGGAAATCAGCTTCATTACTCTTTTCTAACTGTGGAGATAACGACGGCATAGTTTCATAACTTTCGTCTGCCATACTGTTCGAAACTTTGTAGGATTATTTTTGTCCTACAGATTTAGTCCTTCCTCAATACTGACGACACAGAGTCTGGGCTTTACTATAGTTAAAACAGAATGACTTGACTTAAACTTTATCTGTTTCTAAAACATATAAAAAAATCATACAATTACACCAAGAAAAATGTACAAATCCACTGTCATTCAAAAAAGGACAATAACGTACCGAACAGTATTGAAGGTATGGACAAAATGAACAGTTAATTAATTACATGTACACACAAATTGAGTGACAGACAACAAACAACATTCAAGGTCACATCACGTGGTGAGACTTACAACAAATTGACCAATAATCGCGACAAGAAGGTCACATCATATTGATTACCTGTCTATTACAGAGTCTATCAATGTGCGGCGATTAACACACCTCATAACTAAAAATACATACCCTAAGCTAAAAATGTTTGCAATCAATTCACCCAAAAGATGCTAGGCCTATTGAAAGGGCATAGAGACCTAAAGTTGCGCCCCACGGATATGTATAAGCCATCTTCTAGAACATTAACAAATTCAACTCCTGATCCTGAATCACCTGTAGACATGGTTTCTATTGATTCAAACTCAAAATATTATAATGCAGATATAAAGCAAAAATGTTTGAATCCTGATGGCAGTCTCTCTTGTTCTTCGTGTGATGCAAAAATGAATTCTTGGGAGCAAGTAGCCGCTCATATTCGTGGACGTAAACACCAAAGTAAATCAAATGTCAACACAATAGACAGCAAAAATTTGGAAACCACAAACACATTACTAGATGGCGGTGATTCAAAAAGTATTTTCTATCGATGTGAAAATTGTGAAGCGATAGTATTTAGTTCAGCGATGCAAGAACATTTAGAATCTGAAGAGCATAAATTGGAAACTGCCAAAATCCATCGAAGCTCAGTAATACCACATCCCTTAAGTAAAGATGGTTTCGACCATGTCCTACCACTACGGGAATATCGTCGATCCTGTCAAGAAGTTTTGCGTCCTGTATGGCCTTCAGTGAAATTTACTGATGCAGAGGCTAACCTTTTAATGGAAGCAGCGAAGAATGATGATGATTGTATTTTACTCTTGTCGTCATCTGATGGTCGATCACGTGTTGGTTTACATTTAGCCAATGCCCTGTTGATAGCTAATCGGAATTTCCCTCCGTTCAATATTTTTGGTAGTCCATTGAAACCAAGTACTAGTACTACTATATCCTACTGATATTACATGTGTGCTATGGATTGCACCCGAGAAACCAATGACTACAACTACAAAACGTTCTCATTCTACGTTTACATTTCAGCCGGGTGGTGAAAAAAGTTCCACTGGGCGTCCATTGATTTTTGCATATCTACCGTTCGATCCGTCAGTCCTATCAGAAACTGATATCGTGAGAACAAATTCTGGTGGCTTTGTAAGAGTTGGACTTGGGATTACTTCGACCTAATAATAACCGCTCTTACAAACTCTTTCACCGTTTATGACCTTAATTAGTACTCTGCCTACGTGCAAGTACTACAGAACAGAATCAAAGTTAAAAAGACGCGAAATGGCAAGTATAACTGGACCGGACTTGTATTTACACAAAAGATATGCAATTTGATAAGGAATAAAAAGTGCACACTTATCTGGAGATTAGACGGTTGTCGGCTCGTAGATTGTACTAGTTGAAAGTACAGCGAGAGAGCGAGACAGTGACCGTACAGGAGTACAAAAGCGGAAGTGGGGTTAACAATGTCAGGTTGCGTTCATTCATTGACCTTCCTGAACACTACAGCTTTATAACACATTTAGCCTGGTTACTTATGCTGCAAACATGTTCATTATTTCTCTCTTCAAGCATCTGTCTGTCGTATATCTTTACCTGCACTTGAAAAGAAAGTACCTAACCATAATAGCAACAGCTGGACCACTACTAATCTATTTGGTTTATGAGGTGTGATTTCCACATCAATTAGATATCTGGTGGCACAGCGGTATAATGCTCGCAAAACACGCCTCATGTGGTTCGGCGTTCAATCCCGGCCGACGCTCTCCTCCATCTTGCTAAGCTAGCAATAAGACTGGTAAAGAGCGATTATTTTCATTTTATTTAAACGCAGAAGAAAAACACTTGGTGCAATATGGCACCAAGAAAGATGCGCCACACAGTAATAAAACAGCAGAGATTAAAAGTAAAAATATAATAAGTAGAAAACGGATAAAGAACTTCCTCTGGAAGGAAAACAGTCATATTTAACAAGTTCAAACAGTATTCGTCAACTATCATCGAGAAGGGAAGAAAGAAGGAAATTGTAACACGTTCGCCATTGATTACGATTCTTCGCCATATCCGATAACCTTTCGAGCCATCGATTCGAGCTATCTCGCGGACCCCAACCAGGGATGGAAAACATAACGGACCGTTATGCAGTGCACACTGCTTATCTTACGGTTAATAAGGCGGAGGGTTCACCCCCCCTCCACACAAACACCCAAATTCAAACTTCTGTTAATTCATGATGCAGTTACATCATTACCCTAACCAAACCAAGCATCTGTCTCATGCAACCGGTCCCTTTATTAGTTTGAAGAGACAAAGAATGAACATGTTTGCAGCATAAGTAACCAGGCTAAATGTGTTATAAAGCCACCAGAATTTGTTCTCACGATATCAGTTTCTGATAGGACTGACGGATCGAACGGTGGATATGCAAAAATCAATGGACGCCCAGTGGAACTTTTTTCACCACCCGGCTGAAATGTAAACGTAGAATGAGAACGTTTTGTAGTTGTAGTCATTGGTTTCTCGGGTGCAATCCATAGCACACATGTAATATCAGTAGGAGTAGTATACTAGTACTTGGTTTCAATGGACTACCAAAAATATTGAACGGAGGGAAATTCCGATTAGCTATCAACAGGGCATTGGCTAAATGTAAACCAACACGTGATCGACCATCAGATGACGACAAGAGTAAAATACAATCATCATCATTCTTCGCTGCTTCCATTAAAAGGTTAGCCTCTGCATCAGTAAATTTCACTGAAGGCCATACAGGACGCAAAACTTCTTGACAGGATCGACGATATTCCCGTAGTGGTAGGACATGGTCGAAACCATCTTTACTTAAGGGATGTGGTATTACTGAGCTTCGATGGATTTTGGCAGTTTCCAATTTATGCTCTTCAGATTCTAAATGTTCTTGCATCGCTGAACTAAATACTATCGCTTCACAATTTTCACATCGATAGAAAATACTTTTTGAATCACCGCCATCTAGTAATGTGTTTGTGGTTTCCAAATTTTTGCTGTCTATTGTGTTGACATTTGATTTACTTTGGTGTTTACGTCCACGAATATGAGCGGCTACTTGCTCCCAAGAATTCATTTTTGCATCACACGAAGAACAAGAGAGACTGCCATCAGGATTCAAACATTTTTGCTTTATATCTGCATTATAATATTTTGAGTTTGAATCAATAGAAACCATGTCTACAGGTGATTCAGGATCAGGAGTTGAATTTGTTAATGTTCTAGAAGATGGCTTATTCATATCCCAAGATAGATCTTTGGGAGACGTTGATTCAGGTGTGGTAAGTACTGGTAGTGAAATCAGGACTTACCACACCTGAATCAACGTCTCCCAAAGATCTATCTTGGGATATGAATAAGCCATCTTCTAGAACATTAACAAATTCAACTCCTGATCCTGAATCACCTGTAGACATGGTTTCTATTGATTCAAACTCAAAATATTATAATGCAGATATAAAGCAAAAATGTTTGAATCCTGATGGCAGTCTCTCTTGTTCTTCGTGTGATGCAAAAATGAATTCTTGGGAGCAAGTAGCCGCTCATATTCGTGGACGTAAACACCAAAGTAAATCAAATGTCAACACAATAGACAGCAAAAATTTGGAAACCACAAACACATTACTAGATGGCGGTGATTCAAAAAGTATTTTCTATCGATGTGAAAATTGTGAAGCGATAGTATTTAGTTCAGCGATGCAAGAACATTTAGAATCTGAAGAGCATAAATTGGAAACTGCCAAAATCCATCGAAGCTCAGTAATACCACATCCCTTAAGTAAAGATGGTTTCGACCATGTCCTACCACTACGGGAATATCGTCGATCCTGTCAAGAAGTTTTGCGTCCTGTATGGCCTTCAGTGAAATTTACTGATGCAGAGGCTAACCTTTTAATGGAAGCAGCGAAGAATGATGATGATTGTATTTTACTCTTGTCGTCATCTGATGGTCGATCACGTGTTGGTTTACATTTAGCCAATGCCCTGTTGATAGCTAATCGGAATTTCCCTCCGTTCAATATTTTTGGTAGTCCATTGAAACCAAGTACTAGTACTACTCCTACTGATATTACATGTGTGCTATGGATTGCACCCGAGAAACCAATGACTACAACTACAAAACGTTCTCATTCTACGTTTACATTTCAGCCGGGTGGTGAAAAAAGTTCCACTGGGCGTCCATTGATTTTTGCATATCTACCGTTCGATCCGTCAGTCCTATCAGAAACTGATATCGTGAGAACAAATTCTGGTGGCTTTATAACACATTTAGCCTGGTTACTTATGCTGCAAACATGTTCATTATTTCTCTCTTCAAGCATCTGTCTGTCGTATATCTTTACCTGCACTTGAAAAGAAAGTACCTAACCATAATAGCAACAGCTGGACCACTACTAATCTATTTGGTTTATGAGGTGTGATTTCCACATCAATTAGATATCTGGTGGCACAGCGGTATAATGCTCGCAAAACACGCCTCATTTGGTTCGGCGTTCAATCCCGGCCGACGCTCTCCTCCATCTTGCTAAGCTAGCAATAAGACTGGTAAAGAGCGATTATTTTCATTTTATTTAAACGCAGAAGAAAAACACTTGGTGCAATATGGCACCAAGAAAGATGCGCCACACAGTAATAAAACAGCAGAGATTAAAAGTAAAAATATAATAAGTAGAAAACGGATAAAGAACTTCCTCTGGAAGGAAAACAGTCATATTTAACAAGTTCAAACAGTATTCGTCAACTATCATCGAGAAGGGAAGAAAGAAGGAAATTGTAACACGTTCGCCATTGATTACGATTCTTCGCCATATCCGATAACCTTTCGAGCCATCGATTCGAGCTATCTCGCGGACCCCAACCAGGGATGGAAAACATAACGGACCGTTATGCAGTGCACACTGCTTATCTTACGGTTAATAAGGCGGAGGGTTCACCCCCCCCTCCACACAAACACCCAAATTCAAACTTCTGTTAATTCATGATGCAGTTACATCATTACCCTAACCAAACCAAGCATCTGTCTCATGCAACCGGTTCCCTTTATTAGTTTGAAGAGACAAAGAATGAACATGTTTGCAGCATAAGTAACCAGGCTAAATGTGTTATAAAGCCACCAGAATTTGTTCTCACGATATCAGTTTCTGATAGGACTGACGGATCGAACGGTGGATATGCAAAAATCAATGGACGCCCAGTGGAACTTTTTTCACCACCCGGCTGAAATGTAAACGTAGAATGAGAACGTTTTGTAGTTGTAGTCATTGGTTTCTCGGGTGCAATCCATAGCACACATGTAATATCAGTAGGAGTAGTAGAACTAGTACTTGGTTTCAATGGACTACCAAAAATATTGAACGGAGGGAAATTCCGATTAGCTATCAACAGGGCATTGGCTAAATGTAAACCAACACGTGATCGACCATCAGATGACGACAAGAGTAAAATACAATCATCATCATTCTTCGCTGCTTCCATTAAAAGGTTAGCCTCTGCATCAGTAAATTTCACTGAAGGCCATACAGGACGCAAAACTTCTTGACAGGATCGACGATATTCCCGTAGTGGTAGGACATGGTCGAAACCATCTTTACTTAAGGGATGTGGTATTACTGAGCTTCGATGGATTTTGGCAGTTTCCAATTTATGCTCTTCAGATTCTAAATGTTCTTGCATCGCTGAACTAAATACTATCGCTTCACAATTTTCACATCGATAGAAAATACTTTTTGAATCACCGCCATCTAGTAATGTGTTTGTGGTTTCCAAATTTTTGCTGTCTATTGTGTTGACATTTGATTTACTTTGGTGTTTACGTCCACGAATATGAGCGGCTACTTGCTCCCAAGAATTCATTTTTGCATCACACGAAGAACAAGAGAGACTGCCATCAGGATTCAAACATTTTTGCTTTATATCTGCATTATAATATTTTGAGTTTGAATCAATAGAAACCATGTCTACAGGTGATTCAGGATCAGGAGTTGAATTTGTTAATGTTCTAGAAGATGGCTTATTCATATCCCAAGATAGATCTTTGGGAGACGTTGATTCAGGTGTGGTAAGTACTGGTAGTGAAATCAGGACTTACCACACCTGAATCAACGTCTCCCAAAGATCTATCTTGGGATATGAATAAGCCATCTTCTAGAACATTAACAAATTCAACTCCTGATCCTGAATCACCTGTAGACATGGTTTCTATTGATTCAAACTCAAAATATTATAATGCAGATATAAAGCAAAAATGTTTGAATCCTGATGGCAGTCTCTCTTGTTCTTCGTGTGATGCAAAAATGAATTCTTGGGAGCAAGTAGCCGCTCATATTCGTGGACGTAAACACCAAAGTAAATCAAATGTCAACACAATAGACAGCAAAAATTTGGAAACCACAAACACATTACTAGATGGCGGTGATTCAAAAAGTATTTTCTATCGATGTGAAAATTGTGAAGCGATAGTATTTAGTTCAGCGATGCAAGAACATTTAGAATCTGAAGAGCATAAATTGGAAACTGCCAAAATCCATCGAAGCTCAGTAATACCACATCCCTTAAGTAAAGATGGTTTCGACCATGTCCTACCACTACGGGAATATCGTCGATCCTGTCAAGAAGTTTTGCGTCCTGTATGGCCTTCAGTGAAATTTACTGATGCAGAGGCTAACCTTTTAATGGAAGCAGCGAAGAATGATGATGATTGTATTTTACTCTTGTCGTCATCTGATGGTCGATCACGTGTTGGTTTACATTTAGCCAATGCCCTGTTGATAGCTAATCGGAATTTCCCTCCGTTCAATATTTTTGGTAGTCCATTGAAACCAAGTACTAGTACTACTACTACTCCTACTGATATTACATGTGTGCTATGGATTGCACCCGAGAAACCAATGACTACAACTACAAAACGTTCTCATTCTACGTTTACATTTCAGCCGGGTGGTGAAAAAAGTTCCACTGGGCGTCCATTGATTTTTGCATATCTACCGTTCGATCCGTCAGTCCTATCAGAAACTGATATCGTGAGAACAAATTCTGGTGGCTTTATAACACATTTAGCCTGGTTACTTATGCTGCAAACATGTTCATTATTTCTCTCTTCAAGCATCTGTCTGTCGTATATCTTTACCTGCACTTGAAAAGAAAGTACCTAACCATAATAGCAACAGCTGGACCACTACTAATCTATTTGGTTTATGAGGTGTGATTTCCACATCAATTAGATATCTGGTGGCACAGCGGTATAATGCTCGCAAAACACGCCTCATGTGGTTCGGCGTTCAATCCCGACCGACGCTCTCCTCCATCTTGCTAAGCTAGCAATAAGACTGCAAAAGAGGGATTATTTTCATTTCATTTAAACGCAGAAGAAAAACACTTGGTGCAATATGGCACCAAGAAAGATGCGCCACACAGTAATAAAACAGCAGAGATTAAAAGTAAAAATATAATAAGTAGAAAACGGATAAAGAACTTCCTCTGGAAGGAAAACAGTCATATTTAACAAGTTCAAACAGTATTCGTCAACTATCATCGAGAAGGGAAGAAAGAAGGAAATTGTAACACGTTCGCCATTGATTACGATTCTTCGCCATATCCGATAACCTTTCGAGCCATCGATTCGAGCTATCTCGCGGACCCCAAACAGGGAGTCGTGACGCACTAACTGATGCTTATCTAGCACAAAGATTCTTCATCCCACGACGCCACATCATGGATTGACCACCCATCCACCTTTTCCATCCCGTCCTAGGGCTAGCAAACAGAGACCTGTACGGAAGCCTATGGGATGACATTCGCAGCACATGTCCAAGCCACTGGAGCCGGTGTTTCCACATGACGACACTCAATGAATGGTGATCTCCACTGTGTTCAAACACACGCCGCCGAACCTCAGAATTACTCACGCAATGATGCCATCGAACGCAAGCAATCCTGCGGAGACAGCGATGACCGAACACACAGAGTCGCCGCACATCCTCAGCTCAGAGAGACCAGGTTTTACAGGCGTAGAGCAAGACAGCCCACACCGAAGCATTGTATACCCGACCTTTGACAGCCAGGCTAACGTCGCGACAGCGCCAGAAGTGGCTCAAGTTGATGTATGCCACCCTAGCCTTCATTATACGGTTGGAAATCTCATCCGTCACCCCTCCGCCAGCACTCACACAACTACCCAGATGCACAAACTTATCAACAACTTCAAGTGGTTCGCCGGCAAGAGTGAGTGCAGGTACAGGCTCCTGCCAATCTTGTAACAGTACTTTGCACTTAGATGGCGCAAAGCACATACCATATTTACAGGCACTGATCGCCAACTGATTAGGTGCGATTTGGGCAGCCTGCATGCTATCGCACAGTAAGACGATATCGTCTGCACACTCGAGGTTGAAAAGTCTATCTCCAAGTAGCAGATCTACACCACCTTCACGCACATCCTTCAGAGCTGACTCCAGAATGTCATCGATGGCAAAGTTAAAGAGGGGAGGTCGGGAATCAGGCTAGCAACCCCATCCCGTAAAAAAATAAACACCACTGCTACCGAGACTTTAAACTTCTAGCTTGAAGCCCTATGTTCCAATGGGAACGTAAAGGGATTTTTTTTTAAAACAACTCCCTAAATGTTGCTAACAATATCACACAAAAAAGGGTATGTAAGTAATAATTTTAACAGGAATCAAAAAAGAGACAAAACTACCCTTTAATATACACGCATTAAATCTGTTCAAAACATAATCCAAACTATAGCAAACATCAACTAGCCAATCATTGAATTTTAATTCGCTAGCAGACATCATTGAACTTTGATTCCATGGCATCAAATTAGGCCTATCACTATCTATGAATGATGAAGTTGTTTCCGTAGAATCTGATAAAACATTTCGATATACCTCCTCATATAATGATAATGATGGCAAGCAGATCAGCCGGTCATATCGAAGTTTTAATTCAATATGGAATTCATTGAACATTGATTTGATGAGCAGAATGACTTCAGAGAGATCACAATTCTTATAGACAAAAAGATTGCCAATTATTACAGCTAGGCGATGAATTAAACAGCATGGATTCGGTAGACCAAAATGTGCAGCTAATTTTTGTACCTTAAAGGGAAGAAAAACAGATGTGAAACATTGAGAAAGTGAAAAAGTACACAAAGAGATTAACACTGTTTGTTTCTAAGCGTTATTTACAGGAGAACACATTTTAGCACCACTCTTTTGAAGGAATATTTACAGCAGACGAAACCATAATAAAAAAACACAAAACAAATCTGTCTATACTCTGAAGGAGAAAGAAAATGTGCACTAGTCTCTTTTGCGAAAAAATTAAGGTAACAAAAGTATCCTGGCTGAAAATGGAAAATGCATCAAAGTTACTCTCGGGATATTTGAAGCAATGTTTGGACAATGGTGGGTGGGATCATCACACTAACTAAGCTGACAATCACGGGGATATTATTAGACTAAAAACGTTCTGGAACATGCATATAACGCTTGACTCACAACTGTTTGTCTCTCTCTCTCTATATATATATATATGCTTGTTTGGTGTTGTAACAGCAAATAGGTGGAAGCTTTAATTTGGCTTGATCTAAAGTAATCATGAGAAACGAAGAAAAAGAAGTATACTTTCTCGTTTAGACTAGAAAGATAACAATAATCGACAACTGGAGGTACAGTGGAATATTCACAACCAACTGGAATTAGAGTGGGAGACGTTCAGTTAATTCTTCACAACATGGTGTTAACCATGCATTCTTATCTTGATTATTTATAAGAGGAGGGAATAAGTCTTTTCGACTGGAAAAGTTTAATACCAGAAGACCATTTCTTTGCATACAGAAGAAGTATATTCAACCATTATGTTTACCTTGGCCTACAATAAAGCCAACAAATCCTCCATTAACACTACAAATTCCTTTCACAATTTTCTTTTCTTCTTCTTCTATTCCTCTGTTTCATTGACAATCGTTCATTTTCGACTTTTATGATTTCATGACCTTTCTTATGATTTTATTACCTTAGGTTTAAGTAGTGCTTTTCTAACTTGCTATCGTATTTACAAAATCTTGTTCATTCCACTTCATTATATTCATTATTATTATTATTATTATTATCATTATTATTATTATTTGACAATCATTCACCAATAGTGCTTGTAATTTTACACCATCATATCATCGTTATTACTTTACAATCATTCTTACTGTCGTTATTTTCAACCTTGAACTTATGTCTAGTCCGCCCCATTCGTTGGTTTATTTTCATATTGAGAAGAAGAAGTTCAGTAAAGATGTCGATCTTTCCGGCGATTTCATTTTCAAAAGCTGTACAATCGCATTTAAATACATAATTTTACATGGAGACAATTCTTGTTTAATTCTACATAATTATGACGGCGAATAAAAGGTGACAACTATTTCCAACTAGATATGGTTTTACGAGAGGCTTAGAAACAAAATTACGCAGGATTAGAACGGATATCAAGTGTGTAAAAATGAGCGTGGAAACAAAATAATAATTTTCAACTTGAGATGGGAATCAGGAGGTGCAAATATAGATTACAAGAGCCTTAGTAACAAAGTTACACGGGATTATAGCCAATTACAGGTGTGCAGAAAATGAGCATGGAAACAAAAATTTTTTTAACTTAAAATGTTGTCATGTTGTTGTCATATTGTCTCACACACCCTGATTACACTCACTCTCGAAACCTGTATTTTCTGTTGACTATATTTATATATGTGCACACATCATTAAATTAAATTACTTCATCTGACTTTGTCCCATGTTCTCATTGACCATGCATATTAAAAAATTATCTGACTATTGTTCCATCCCATCTTATACATGTTCCACAATACACTTTCTGATATGATTCTAATTTGCCTTTACTGGCTGGCTATTGTATGCTTAAATTAATGGATTTATAATTACAGAGCCTGAAGAAGAATTTATTGAAACCACAATTGTTCGCTCTAAATATTTTGTTCTGGAAAAGTTTTGTAAAATTTTGACTAAAGAATATAGAATCCAATTCGAGAAGATTAAAAGTTGTTTCGAACCAGCAAGAATCATGAAAATCAAAATTTATGTACTGAGGGATTGTTGAAAAACAGTGATCAGCAAGCAGAGCTTGCGTATGACGCATTTTTAGTACACACATTCAACAGGACTTATAACTAGTGAAGAACAAAACTTTTGTACGATGAAACAATCCGGTGGAACTGTCTGTACAAATTTCTCTATTGTGATAGCGAGAATATTCGAGATATTCATCGATTAGAAGACAACTCTATTCAGGTAACGTTTAATGAATAAAGCTGAAATGAAAATCTGGTTGGTGGCAGGATTCGAACAGTAGATTTTCTCATTACTACCACATTATGATGATTACAGGGTATCATCCTTAACCTGGGGTTAGCAATCCAAAGGCTTCCGGTTCGAATCCTGTCACGACACATATTTTTATTTCACCTTGAATCACCGCTAATTATTTCCTCAAACGCAAACAAAATTGGCCTTATATACATACACACACTGAAACATTAATTCAGCAAAAGGAGACAAAGTTTCTAGTGAAGTCATTAATTTCACTACAACCATGAAAAAAGTGATAACAATAAGACACAAAAGTAACTATCATGCAGAACGTGTGAATTCTGTAGTGTGAGTAAACAAAACATTGGAGCATTACCAGAGTGTCTGTCATATGGTGTGTGTCTTTCTGTACCATTCTTTTAGGATTCTAGGCATTCATTCGTGTGTATTTTCATCTACAGTGATATTTTGGTTAACATTCAGACGAAAAATTGGATCAGTGGTCCAAAATGGTTGAATGTCGGGCTAAACTCGGTCCGGGTTCAATTCCTAACTGAGACAGTCTTCTTAACCTCAGCTAGTCACTGGTAAGCCCAGAAAAGAGAGGAGGTTGAGGGGTACGGTAAGCAATTACCTCTGGTAATAAATTTTTTTTAATATCACCGCTACTGAAACACTTCCAAGCTTAAATCCTGAAGACCTACGCATCCAACACAAAGGAATGAAAACAAAACAAAAAAGATACACAACTTACATCTGAATATGATAATTGTTTACGATTCCAAACTAATAATTCATGTGAAGTAGGATTTGTAAAAGGAGATGTTAATTCACTACGAAGAACATTATTGCACAAACCTTCAGAATCAGCGTCTGGAAAAAGAAACTAAATAGTATTCGAAACTAAGATTAGGTGTATTGTCAAGGAAATTAGTTAGCATAGGAAAAAAACCAAAGCAATTATTAGAATGAAGTGATCTAATTCACTAACACGTGCACACTTTTAAACATGTAATAAATAGGTGAGAAAGGTATTCGTGGTCAGGGATAAAAATACTGTGAATATTAATAATGATAATAATAACAGTAACAATAATAAGGGAAAATGAACATAAAAATATTCCCTTTAACCACAAAATTATAACAAAATCAAAGGTTCATTCGGTTTTTTGTAGCTTTTGATTACGTCATGCATGACTATCCTCCATTCAAGAACAATACTCACTCAGCCGAAACATATCCTCAGTTGAATAAGAGAACACCATATGAAATTAATTCACATAGCTGCATTTCAAAAATCCTCTACAAGTTTATTCAGACAGTAGCAACTTGAACTAATGCACTTTTGTTAGGCCAGACTCAAAGAGGGGGCGAAATAAAAAGATATGAATATACCTAAAGAATTAGTTATTCGAAGATTCAAACTGCCTTAATATGTCCAAGAAAAACATCTTCGATACTAAATAAGTTTATTTGACGTGACACAGTATGGCACAACAGTATTCATAATCACATCAATGTGATGACATGGTCATGTTGGAGCAGAAACCGGAGCTCGAAACGTCGTGCAGTTATTAACACTGAACCTCTGTGTGTTATACCAAATATAATTATTAATTACTTATCGATTGAGATGGTCAGGACATGTTTTACGTATCCCTAGTCATCGCCCTCCTAGACGGGCAGTGTTAGCTGCCATAGGTTGGAAAAGAGCTAGTGGTGGTCAAACCAAAACATGGCTTCACTAGTCAATGAAATCCACAGCAGTTAATATAAGCCAGCCAGCCACGTAGAGACGTGTTAAACTGTTGTCTGGTTGAGGTCCTCAGGATGGTGAAAACCAATGGTCGGAGGCAATCGTTGATATAGCTCAAAGTCGTTCTCGATGGTGCAGATACATTCACTCTTTGTAATTTATCACATTCAATGAAAATCTACTGTTCTTCCATATTCATTTCCCCTCACTGGAACTTCTGTTTACTACCTCTCTTTTGAATCGCTCTTTATTCCCTTCTGTTTCTTTGTGTGCTACAAGGAGAGAATGTAGCAACTCGAACTACTGCACATCTGCGCCAAGCTCTGCGCTGACACTAGTCAGTCAGTCAAACTTATTAAATACGAAAAAGAATGTGAAATAGAATGATATCATTTTATATTGCAAATCTGGTCATTCTTTCTCTATCGAAATTTATCAAGGGAACCAAATGTATGAAATTTTTGAAAAGACGCCTCCCTGCCAAAACTATTAAGTCACTGAATCAGGTAGCTACTTTGCGATGCAGAATATCAAGAGAGTTGACAAAGATCAAGTCCTACGAACAATGTCTGCAAACAGGTTGTTTCCCACGACAATTCTTGAAACAACTCCGAGCATCTAAACTCCCTCCTACCCAAAAGAACCTTCGTCGAATAACAAAGTCTCATATTGAATCCTCGTACAAATATTTTTCCAATCTGAAGTGTCATCTGGCTACTTATGATACCTTAATAAATGACCTAAATATTATTTGCTGGCTCAAATTCATGAACTTCGGTAAAGAATTACAGTCCAGAACTGCAAAAGAATATGAAAACTAACTGACAAAAGCATTAGTCAAGGAAAAGTTAACTGAAGACTTCCCAGAAGCACCTGAACGTTATTTTTGTAATCTGTCAAATTTACAATTAAGCAAAATTGAATTAGAAGCTTTATCCTTGGGATTCAAGTTTCACGTCCCTAAAAAGCACATAAACCGTATAGATACAGAAACGCAGTTTGAATACTTATAATATCAACTTGCTGACCTGCAACCTGTGGACAAAGACAAACGAGGATGGCTAAAGTCCAAACTGGTTGATATAGCCAACCAGTACCACACATCACCATCCGAAAAACAAAATATGCTTACTGAGGAGCATAGAGCGGCACCAAGGAGACTATGTGAAAATGATGACATCGTCATGTTTAGACCCGACAAAGGCTCTGGAGTTGTTATAATGAATAAAACTGATTATGTACATAAAATGTTGACAAATCTTAACGACTCCGAAGAATTTCAGGTGGACAAAACTAAGAAGGATGCAACAACGTCATTCAAAAATAAAGTGAATAAATGCCTCAAAGAACTACTCATCAAGAAACCGATCGACAACAAAACTTACAATGAACTCAAGTCAAAGGGTGGACGACTCTTATTTATGTACGGTCTACCAAAAATCCATAAGGCCAATGTGCCCTTAAGACCCATACTATCAATGATAAACTCACCGTGCCACAAACTACCTCGATGGCTAGCTGATTCGTTGAAGCCAATTCGACAAAAATTTTCAAATCATAGCTTGGATGACACCTTCCAATTTTCTAAAGAAGTCGATCACGTTGACATATCCAATAAACTAATGGTGTCATACGACGTGACTGCCTTATTTACAAATGTACCAGTGATGGAAACCATAGATATCATTTGTAAACAAACAGATCTATTGCTATTACCGGAGTCAGAGCTGAAACGACTACTAATTCTTTGCACAAAAGACATCCAATTTAGATTCAATAACGAATTCTACCGACAAATCGATGGGGTCGCCATGGGTTCACCTCTAGGACCCATTCTAGCAGACATCTTCATGGGCTATCTCGAACAGACGCGACTGAGTGACACTATCAATGGAACAACATACTACCATCGATACGTCGATGCTACTTTTGTTGTTTGTAACGACATGAGTCAGGCATCCGTATTATTTGACCGCCTAAATGAGGTGCATCCAAACATTAAATTCACCATGGAATACGAACACAACGATGAGTTCAATTTCCTAGATCTAAGTGTAAAAAGAAGAGACGATGGAACGGTCGAAAAGTCCATCTACAGAGAAGAAACTTGGACTGGACAATACCTTCACTACAACAGCTTCTGCCCTATGAGCTATAAGCGGGGATTAGTAAGGACACTGTACGACAGGGCTAGGAAGTTATGTTCGCCCAACAAGATAGAAGAAGAATTTAGCTTTGTTGAAAAATACCTTAAGGAAAACGGGTATCCAAAAGGCTTTATCCTACAGTACAGCAAAGAAAGAGATGAGAAAGAGAAGTATCCAACATTTGAAAAGAAGGAAGTGTTCATTTGCCTCCCATACAAAGGAGAAACAGTATCTCAAAAGATTGAAAAAAAAGATGAAAGGAGCAATCAAGAGATGCTTCCCTGCAGCCAATCTAGTGACACTATACAGTACTACATGCTCTATAAGCCAATCGAAACTGGATAAGTACGCTGCTGATGTTACCTCCAACTGCATTTATAAATTTACGTGCACCTGCGACAGCAAGTACATCGGAAGGACAGAAAGAAGGGCTTCTATCCGGTTTTCAGAGCGTATTCCGAGAAAATTATGCTTAAAAGGAAGCAAATATTTACAAAGTCCAATTACCAGACACCTTGTGGATACGGGCCATTTTGTCGAGATTTCCAAATCCTTCAAAATATTAAACATACAAAGGACAGCGAATCTATGACGATTTGCTGAAGCAATTGCAATCAAACGTCTCAGACCAAACTTATGCACACAGAAAGAGAGTGTAGTCAATCTCTCACTCCCTTGGTAACCATATCACTTTCATTACACTGATTACTCATAGACACTAGTGAGTTCAACTCACTAAGCAAGTTTTCAAATTGATGAACTTTGACCTTGTTGAGTTGCCATGTTGACACTTTAATAGATTTTTCTGTTTTCTGTTTTCTCTCACCCCTCCTTTTTTCATAGTTTGAAAGTATATAAATTGATGGTAACTTAAACTACAAAAATTCTAATCCTTCTATTCCGGATGCGTTTATCTTATAATGCTTTCTGTATTACCTTTCAAACAATGAAGTATGAAATGTTATTATTTATAACCATTGTAATTTCAGGTAATTTGCAGCTGATGAGAACCTGTGAAATAGAATGATATCATTTTATACTGCAAATCTGGTCTTTCTTTCTCTATCGAAATTTATCAAGGGAACCAAATGTATGAAATATGAAATTATGTATCACCACGGTGACTTTGTTGCACAAACATTAAATTCCCTTTGCTCACAGAGTTTTCAGTGTCTCAAGTAAATCTAAGACAGACCCTTCTTTCTGATGCCTCAATGTATCTCCTATGGAAGCTACACGTAAATTGATACGCACAGTTGAAGCTAGCTAACACAGTAAGGGTATCTTTTGACTTTCTACTGAATCAACGAACATATCTGGTGCACAGGAATCAATCCAGTGGAATGAAATACCCCAAGTCGTCTCGTGATTATCTCTGCAATGTCATTACCTTTACATTTTAGGTTGATGAATAACTGAGGTAATTTAATCACCTTACATCCGTTTTTCTTCCCAATTTGTCGGTGAATCTTTGCGGATATCCGTTCTTTCGTAGACACTTACATGATTTGCAGCGCATTCTCCAGTTTTTCTTTCGAGCATATTATTCTCGCTCTAAGCAATGATATTTTGATTACTCCTTGTTTGAGGTTAATTGAAACAGCCTGTTGATATCCAGGTAACTTCCACTCCATTTACTTTTTCAATCATAGATCTCTGAGGCAAGTCATAACCGGAATGTTAAATTTTCTGTCCACTTCAAATATTCTATGGTGAAATTAATTTTTCTTTGTGGGATGTTCTCAAGAGATCTGCAGCATCGTTTGATGCAACTCTTCCTCAATCACCCACTTACTCCCATTTTGTGAAACTATGAGTGTGATAAACCAGAATTCCGATCTTCACTGGGAATGCACTAATTGCATACAACTCTAGTTTCGAACATACTCTATCGTCAGATTGATAGGATGGAGATATGAGGTTTACAGGGTTCCACCCCACAGTGACGGATATTTTTATGGAAAACATACGGGACAATCAGAGAAATGATATTTTTACACAAGGTATGCTGATGATACCTTTATTGTATGTGATGTGATTCATCTCATGCATCCCGTTTATTGAAAACTGTAATGCATGTATGGGAGAAATAACAAAGCAACAACAACAAATCGTAAATCCTTACTAGTAGAAACTGTAGGACAGAACCGCTTGACAGATTGTAATCTGCATGAAAAAGGTGAAGAATAACAAACAGAGAAAACAAATGATTAGCGTCAATCTATTCCTGAACATATGAATAAGAAAGCTGAAATGGACTTTTCACTAACGGTAAACAAGAAGCCTATTTACACATACATACGACTGCAATTCAAGGGAAATATTGACGATGAAGTTAACAAAATCAGTTCAAAAACTTTTAATGCTGACAAGCTACAAGTCATATCTTCTACACGATCGATGATGATCCCTCAATTGAAAGACGAAGTACCTGGACTAGCCATTTCTAAATGTATCTACCAATTCAACTGCGCCTGTGGAGGAGCGAGTTACATTAGCTGTTACTCCAGGAACTTGATTTTTCGTGCTCGGGAACATCTATCTACCAGTGTGGCCAGATAACGGTGTAGTTAGAAACATCAATACCTCCATACTGAACAGCTGGTCCAAACCGACCACAAAGCTTATATTGAAGAATCCTTCTCCATCATCTATCAAGTACCAAATAAATCTCCAAAAACATCCAGGTACCACATACTGAAAACAGCAGAGGCTATCGGGATTTGCATTAAACAACCGTTGCTCTGTGTGCAAAAGAAGCAAGTACAGCTAGCCACTACTACTGCTCTGACTGACCTTCAGTGGGGACTATAAATTCATGAATTTGTTTAATTAGTTTGCATAATTTCTCTGATATTCAGTCAGTGTATTGTTATGTTGATACTACTGAACTGCAATCCATTGATATTATTATTATTATTATCATTGATTCGATGTTATTTAAACAACACTAATGTTGTGAAGTGAATATTATTTTTAAAGAAAGAGTTTAGAGATTCTCAGATTCTTCTACACTTTAGTTTATTTAACAGAAAGCAAGATTAATCTTTCAATGAGAAAAAATAGATACAAACAAAAGCTCATTTAAAGCTTCTCATGCTCCTAAATTACAAATTCAATAATTATCAAAGATAAGTTGATGAAATCTTTTTTTGTGTGTATTTTATTCCAGTTGTTTCTTCAATGCGCTTTTCATCTTCAATACTTCACCTGCTTAAAGCAATTAGCTCACTGTATGAATTTCTAGAAAGCAGTAAGGAGATGTATTTGTGCAATACACTTCAGACATTCTGACCACACACACACACACATATTTGTCAGACATATTTATATAAACGTTAACAGAGTATAAAAGATTGATTCTGAATAAATGTTTAGGTGAAGAAGGGGGGAGGGGCAAAACTACACACAAGACATAAGAAGAAAACGGTGGGTATGTCATTAAGTGCGGTGGTGTTAATTTGTACGGAGAGGGAGTGTTGCCAGCTTTTCATACCCAGCCTTTCCACCTTACAGGGTTTACGACCGGCTAAGCGAGGTTTAGGAGTGTGTCAGACGCGTATCGAAACCCGGACCACGTTCATGGTTGGTGAGCATTTTATCACTGAGCCACCCACGCGCACAAAGAGTTATCCACCAGACCACTTGAAGCACAGAAGTGTTTAGCTCGAGGCCTTGCCAACACTCGGACTCGGGTCGTTGGATTGGGAGTCCATAAGGTTGACCGCTACACCATGAGGTCTATAAAAATAAACTATTTCATATGAAAAAGAGAAGACATTCAGCGAAGAGACTCTTTTCGGCGAATTCATTCACATAGCTGTACAATCGCATTTATATATATATATTTGTGTGTGTGTGTGTACATGAGGTTTGTCAAGTTTAGATAATTGATTAGTTAATACAAGAATGATGTAGTATAGAGACAAAGTTAATCAGACAGCAACTAAAGTAAGACTGAGTTAAGAAACTAGATGACGTAATATAATTGGCTAAAATGTTACAACTTAGGTCAGAATAGCAACAGAGGTAATTACAGGTAGAGATTAAGTAGAAGTGAAACTGAGTGAATAAGTTGGATGACGTAACATGAATGACTAGAAACTGAGCGTTGTTCAAGTCAGTAACAGTGGTAGTGAGGTGTAGAAATTGAATCGGGAGGGGGTAGAGAACAAGAAAGTTGAAAATGTAAAAGGTTACAATTGAGAAGACAAAATAATACTAATGAAGAGACAGAAGGAAGGAGAAAATCGATGGCCCCGCAGTTCCATCTTAGAACATCTTATAGTATCCGGACACCAAGCTACACCGCACAGTGAGTAAATAAAAATAGATAAGTGTGCTCGGGAACACACACGAGAAACAATCCAATTCATTCATCATAGATGTACTAATGGACTTAACCCTAACTCACTTCAGCGACTCAGGGATTGACTTGCTACCAGGGAATAATCTCGTTGACTTAGAATATGCAGACGATATAGCCCTTCTAGGCGAGGACTCTGACAAAATGCAGAGTCTACTAACACCCTGAGCAACAATCTCCGCATGTTTGGCATGCGATTCGCCCCTTAAAATGTAAGATGATGCTTCAGGATTGGACTTCATCGACCCCTAGATTAGAAATAGGAAGTGAAGTGGTAGAACACGTTGACCGCTTCAATTACTTGGGAAGTACCATCAGCCCCAACGGGTTGATCTCAGACGAAATTTCAGCACGAATACAGAGGGCTAGGTTCACATTCGCCAGTTTTCGCCGTCTCTGGCGTAGACGCGATATCCGACTATCAACCAAAGGGCGTGTGTACTGCTCAACAGTCCGCTCCGTCCTCCTTTATGGCTGTGAGACCTGGCCATTGAGAGCAGAAGACATGAAAAGATTAGCTGTCTTCGATCATAGGTGTCTGCGTTCTATCTCCCGCGTGAAGTGGTATAATAAGGTGAGCAATATTGAGGTTAGGCGTCGAGTGCTAGGTAAGGCGGGGAAATCAATCGACGAAACGGTGAAATTACTTCGACTGAGATGGTTGGGACATGTGCTACGTATGCCTAGTCATCGCCTTCCTCGACGGGCAATGTTAGCTGATATAGGGTCAGGCTGGAAAAGAGCTAGCGGCGGTCAAACGAAAACATGGCACCAATCAATGAAATCCACAACAGTTAATCTAAGCCACGTAGGAAGATGTAGACTTCCTGGTTGGGGCCCTCGGGATGGTAAAAACCAATGGTTGGAAACAATTGGTGACATGGCTCAAAATCGTTCTCAGTGGCGCAGATGCATCCACTCCTTGTGACTTATTATTTCCAATTAAACTTTTGTTCTCCGTTATTACTATTCCTTTGTCTCACACCTCTGTTTACTGTCTATATTATGCATTTCTTCTACTTTCTTCATTTGTTTTGCGTGCTACATAGATTGTGGCGACTTGAACTGCCGCACATATGTGCAAAGTTCTATGTCGAAAACCGACCGACCAACAAACTTCAAAGTCGTCCACAGAGTAAGAAGTAGTCTCCCTAGAGGTGTACGAATCAGACTTCTTCAAACTGCAGAAGCAATGGCGATTCACTTGCTAAGTCCTGAACTCTGCATACAGAAGAAGTTCGTTCAATCACTACACTTGCAATAGGCGTAACCTATCTTATTAGCCGACATGTAAATTCTACCTAATCTTTCCTTCTGTCTCTTCATTAGTATTATTTTGTCTTCTCAATTGTAACCTTTTACATTTTCAACTTTCTTGTTCTCTACCCCCTCCCGATTCAATTTCTACACCTCACTACCACTGTTACTGACTTGAACAACGCTCAGTTTCTAGTCATTCATGTTACGTCATCCAACTTATTCACTCAGTTTCACTTCTACTTAATCTCTACCTGTAATTACCTCTGTTGCTATTCTGACCTAAGTTGTAACATTTTAGCCAATTATATTACGTCATCTAGTTTCTTAACTCAGTCTTACTTTAGTTGCTGTCTGATTAACTTTGTCTCTATACTACATCATTCTTGTATTAACTAATCAATTATCTAAACTTGACAAACCTCATGTACACACACACACACAAATATATATATATAAATGCGATTGTACAGCTATGTGAATGAATTCGCCGAAAAGAGTCTCTTCGCTGAATGTCTTCTCTTTTTCATATGACTCAATGGGGATTTTCAATCTACTTAAACTATTTCAATTAGAATCTCCATCCAGATTCGCCACGCTGATTTAGACTATTGTTAAAAATAGATTAGACTATACAAAAACTAATTAATAATATGGCGAACATATCTTTAAAAAAAAATTATGGTTTATGTTACCATTCATGCTATACTAACTACCTGATGAGGAATCAGTAGGCTGACTTGATTTATCCGAAAAAATAAAATAATATAAAACAGCGCATAGTGCGTGTTGGTGTGTAGGGATATGATTGGCTACATGGTGCCAATCACCATCAACGGGAGGGATTTGAAAGAGGTTACTTCATTCACTTATCTAGGGAGCATTGTCTCGACTACACGAGGAACGGACGAGGATGTCAAGTCGAGAATCGGTGAGGCGAGAAACACATTCATCAACCTGAAACCAATCTGGAAATCTTCGTCACTCAGCATCAACAACAAAATTCGGATTTTCAATACAAACGTCAAGTCAGTTTTGCTTTACGGATCAGAAACTTGGCGGGTCACCAGGAATATTTTCAACAGGTTGCAGACCTGTCTTCGCTCTATAGTGAAGATTAGATGGCCGGAAAGAATCACCAACAAGAAACTATGGGAACAAACAAAACAAGAACCAATCGCCCAACATATATGCAGGAGAAAGTGGAGGTGGATTGGACACTCGCTAAGGAGGCCGCTGGGTGACATCGCGCGTCAGGCTATCACTCGAGTGGAACCCGAAAGGGAAGCGGCGAGTGGGACGTCCAAGGGTGACATTGAGTAGATCGTGTGAAGAAGAGTTGAAACAGTATGGAATAACATGGATGCAAGTGAAAAGTACAGCAGAAGACAGAAGCAAATGGAGACGTGCAGTTGAAGCCCTATGTTCCACTAGGAACCCAAGGGAACAATAATAATAATGATACTAATACAGGATTTCACCATGAGCTGACATCGGTTAGAAAAGCATTGGGAAAGCTGCAGGGAGTATTGGAAAGCTGTTTTGTTGTCCTAGTTTGGGAAAGCTGTCCAGTACTCCCTGAAGGTTTTTCAATCCCTCTCTAACCGATATCAGCTCATGATGAAATCCTGAAAGCATATTGTACCTGTATCTATTGGACACCATAAAAGGTTGTTATAACATGGTGATATCAAGGTGGACGAATATGTATGCGAAATTAACTCAGCAGAATCTGACTAATATTCGTTTTCAAATGAAACAACCCGATGGTTTTAGGGTTGTTTAACAGATTTTAGAAACTGAGCACTTATCAAGTGATGATCACTGTATACTTTTAAGCATTTGGTCATAAGTTGTATAGGATTGTCATTATCTAATTGTGAAAATACACGCGCTTGAAGTAGTATGCTTTAGATAAATGACACTTAAGCAACAAATTTGCTGCTTAGGAAAGTTCTGATGAATATCGCAGACTTTCGATTGACAACACCATTTGCTTTTGATCATGATATCGCAAAAAGGCTGGTCCAGCTAAAGGCAACAATATAATCAGATTAAACAGAAAGTTTCAAGTATAAAAGCGAAATGTGGGGTTGATAGTCATCCAGTCTTCAATGAAATTATTGGAAAGAAATGGCTCCTACTGTAGATGGTATCAATGAAAGGATGCTGAAAAAGTGCTTTTCTAAGGGTGAAAATAGCTTCAGTTTAGGAGTTTCAAATATTCAGGCAATCGACTTAACTTAACTTAAGAAAATTCGGATTTTCAATTACTTCGCTCCACGAAATTGACTACTAACAGCACATACTCGTGGCATACAAGATAAAATCTCTTTGAAGTTGCCATGAAGTCATATTCAAATCATTACAGATTTCAGGGGAAAAACTGGTGTCAAATCATGATATACAACATATGGTTAGTAGTGTCTGACAGTGAAACTCGCAAGAAGGGGGAGTACTATCTAAAATACAGTGTGCTGCTCGACGATTCATCTTCTCACTGATCCATACTGTCCACTTGCTTCACACTACTAACCGTGTTGTTTCCTTTGGATTTTTGCAGGAACCTCTCATCCTCACCCGGAGACTATGTTACAACCGGTGCCAAGCTTCTACTAGCAGACACGACTGCAGCAGTGAGCGCTTCAGTGGATTGTATTTTATAATTTATAGAAGCGAAATTTAACTGTATCAACAATTAACCAGTAATTTCTAGAACTCGTTAGCTGTATTTTTCTATAATATATATACCGTTATAATACTATTTCATTAACTTAGATTTTTATTCTAATATTTTAACCGTTACCGAGCTCGTTGTTAAGTCCCCTACAAATTAATTGGTGAGCCCGTTCGAACATTTTTAGCTTTATAAACTGTATATTTATATTGTTATCATTTTTATTTTTGACTGCATATTATATATATATATTTATATATTTGTACGTCTATATACTAATCATGTCACCACCCATCCACCGTAATGAGTAACCGGTTCAGGCTGCGTCTACTGCAGACACACCTGTATTATTAGCTCTTCCAGCAATAGCAAACAGGATGGAAACGTTGACAATTGAACTGTCTAGCCTATGTGCACGATGTGGTAGACCACATTCCAGGCCAAGGCAATCTCAACGGGTGTTTTCAAGACAGCAGACCAGGACGTCTCCTAATACTCAGAATATTTGCTGGTAACATAGAAAGTTTGGCAACAAAAGTTTTGAACAAAAGTTATGCACAATGTTTCCATTTTTAACATTTAACAAAAAACTGCACAAACAAATCGTTTCAGACTCTACAACTATTGTTTCAAATGTGAAGGTATTATTCACTAATATAGTGAGCCAGCCACCAGTTAAACTTCATGTTTACATTAACGTGTACTAGTTCTTATTGACTGAAGTTATTTTTGAATTTCGCATTAACCTGAAGGCATCTTAGAAATGTCCGCGCTAGGAGGCAACATGCCGACACAGATCAAGCAATTTGATGCGATTATTACTTAGATAACTAGCATCCGTATAAAGAGATTAGGTAGGTAGGTAGGTATCGGTCGGTCGGTCGGTTTTCGACATAGAACTTTGCACGTATGTGCGGCAGTTCAAGTCGCCACACTCCATGTAGCACGCAAAACAAATGAAGAAAGTAGAAGAAATGCATAATATAGACAGTAAACAGAGGCGTGAGACAAGGGAATAGTAATAACGAAGAACAGTATAGTTTCATTGGAAATCATAAGTCACAAGGAGTCGATTCATATGCGCCATTGAGAACGATTTTTAGCCATGTCACCAATTGTTTCCAACCATTGGTTTTTACCATCCCGAGGGCCCCAACCAGGAAGTCTACATCTTCCTACGCGGCTTAGATTGACTGTTGTGGATTTCATTGATTGGTGCCATGTTTTCGTTTGACCGCCACTAGCTATTTTCCAGCCTGGCCCTATATCAGCTAACATTGCCCGTCGAGGAAGGCGATGACTAGGCATACGTAGCACATGTCCTAACCATCTCAGTCGAAGTAATTTCACCGTTTCGTCGATTGATTTCCCCGCCTTACCTAGCACTCGACGCCTAACCTCAATATTGCTCACCTTATTATACCACTTCACGCGGGAGATAGAACGCAGACACCTATGATCGAAGACAGCTAATCTTTTCATGTCTTCCTCTCTCAATGGCCAGGTCTCACAGCCATAAAGGAGGACGGAGCGGACTGTTGAGCAGTACACACGCCCTTTGGTCGATAGTCGGATATCGCGTCTACGCCAGAGATGGCGAAAACTGGCGAATGCGAACCTAGCCCTCTGTATTCGTGCTGAAATTTCGTCTGAGATCAACCCGTTGGGGCTGATGGTACTTCCCAAGTAATTGAAGCGGTCAACGTGTTCTACCACTTCACTTCCTATTTCTAATCTAGGGGTCGATGAAGTCCAATCCTGAAGCATCATCTTACATTTTACAGGGGCGAATCGCATGCCAAACATACGGAGATTGTTGCTCAGGGTGTTTAGTAGACTCTGCATTTTGTCAGAGTCCTCGCCTAGAAGGACTATATCGTCTGCATATTCTAAGTCAACGAGATTATTCCCTGGTAGCAAGTCAATCCCTGAGTCGCTGAAGTGTGATAAGGTTAAGTCCATTAGTAGTAGGTAGGTAGGTATAGAAAACAGTAAACGCCAACTTACTCATTCTATCAACAAATGGACTACTTGAGCATATTTGTAATTGCCATTCTGGAGCACCTTCAGGTTTTAGAGATCTGTAAGGCAGAAAAAAATCATACAAGAGATGTGAAGTTGCTTTGCCGATTGATAATTAACAATATACTGACTGGAACGCTGGAAAGAACACTATGAGGAGCAGTTTAATTGGCCTACAGCCACGCTCAACCTGCCAAACATCCAACACCTCCCTGAATGGGATATAAATACAGGTCCTCCGCCCCTAACTGAGGTTACCAAAGCTGTCACTAATCTGAAACAAGGCAAAGCAGCGGGACTTGATGGATTGACTCCAGAGGTATTTAAGTACGGTGGAGACAGTTTACTGTCTGCATTAACTGAGGTACTAGGTAGCGTCTGGGAATCAGAGGAAGTCCTGTCGGGTTGGTGTAAGTCACTGATTATCCCCATATACAAGAAGGGAGACAAGTCTTCCTGTGATAGGGAGTGAAGTGGTTTGTGGAACGTGTTGACCACTTCACTTATTTGAGAAGTTGCATCAGCCAACGCCAATTGGTTGATCGCTGACGAAATCTCAGCACGGATACGGATACAGACGGCTCGTTTCGCAAATGCCAACTTACGCCACTTCTGGTCTAGCAGACGTGGTCTCCAGCTGGCTGTCGACTGGATGCCGTGTGTGGAAGAAAAAAATTATTTTTAAAAAAAAAGGTTTTCTAATATGAGATAAAAAATGTTCCAATTATTAAGAGGAGCTTCAGTTTTTAAATTAAACCAATTTCTATACATATATCCATTCAAATGACTGAAAATAACTTCGTTTTGTGATCCGTTGATAGCTCAGATTCTATTTTTAAGTCTTCCCCAGAAACCTTCGATGTAATTATCATGAGTATGACAGGGTCGACGGAATCATTCGAATGGTTCACTCTATGATGTATATATCCCAATTGCGATAATTGGCTATATCCCGCCCATTCATCTGTGTGAATGGTGGTGCCTGGTAACACTAGACGCTGAATAATAGGGAGGTGTATCAGTACTCCTATCTAGAATCAGCTGCATAAACCCTTTGCGAATCTAGGTGTCATAAATCCCTAAAACCCAAATGTTATTCGCTCTGGCACCCAGTAATTGGACAGAAACAAGATATTCAGGCAAAGTTAAACTTTCGACACCAATAACAACCAATCATCAAAGACAGTTTCAACTTTTCAAAGAAAGTTCCCAGAAGACAATTAATTCAGTGTCGCTTACCAGTATGCACAATTATTCGCGCTAGAATAATGGTGAGCTTCGTCAACCAATGACTAGCATGCGTTCAGGGTCATTGGAACATTCACAAGGTCATTGGAACATTTACAATCTTCGGACTCTATTGTTGAACTTCGCCCAAGTTGCATTGATCTACATTCCGACTGAAGCTGAGAAACAATTGAAGTCACTTACTCATATATTATCCCTCAAGGTTTGGCTAGTAATGGCCCAGCATCCTTGATGAAATCCACTGTCACCATAACTAGACGCTGTACAGCATCTTATACAAGCACTGTCAACGATCTAAAATGGTTTTTATATAGCTTTCTACGTGCTTATCAACATACTCGTTCGGAGCAACCATGCTGTGACAAATGGCCGGCTATGGGTGACTACACTGCAGTAAAACAAATCTGCTTGAAATTGACCAATATTAATCTGCATTCAGTTGAACTCACATCTGGTATTACTTGCAAAAAAATGATGTCAAAATCATAAAAATTAATCACTCATTTAAAATTAATACCCAATTTGAACATAAAACAAGATACGATGCCGCACACAACAAAGTTATATCGAGGAATTGACTTCAAGCTTTATTTTTTCCCCAAATATTTGTAATTTATCCGACACATACTTGGGTTTTTTTTGTTAATGCGAAGACAATATTTCTATATTTCTTTATGTGCTCCATTGAACGACTAACTATCAGAATGTGCTCACTAACTGATGTCAGAGAGGAGAGCAACCATGTAATTTCACTATAAATCAAATTCATGTAATTTAAATAATACTTATCCATGCCTGTACAGCTGGTGTGTCCTACATTGATAGGAAATATATATTATTATTAATCCTCAGCAGCACAGTTCGCTCCGTCCTCCTTTATGTCTGTGAGACAAGGCTATTGGAAGTGAAAGAAAGAAAAAGGCTAGCTGTCTTTGATGATAGGTGTCTGTGTCCTATCTCCCGTGCTAAGTGGTATAATAGAGTGACAAATTAAAGGAAGCAATAATAATAATATAGTTGTCCCGATGGAGAAAAAATGGTGTAATTTACAAAGGGACAACTGAGAGATGAAGTTTCAGGGATCAACCTGGAGACTTGAAAAACTTGCTTAATGGGAAAAATCTTCACAAAAAGATGTGACAAAAAAATAATGACCTCCGACAGCTTCTTTTTTTGATGAACTTCTTTATTTCATTTATTTATTTCAAAACAAATTTGGTGTAAAACACTCATTGGACAGATAATACGACCTATCAAACTCCTATGGATATGAACCTATCTATGGCTCTGATGACAACAAGCCTAGTCTCTTCGCTGATCACAACGATAACAACAGCAAAAAAACAGGATTGGACTACACCGACTCCTAGATTAGAAATAGGAAGTGAAGTGGTAGAGCACCTTGACCGCTTCACTTACTTGGGAAGTACCATCAGCCCCAACGGGTTGGTCGCTGACGAAATCTCAGCACGAATACAGAAGGCTAGTTTCGCATATGTCAGTTCACGCCGTCTCTGGCGTAGATGTCATATCTAGCTGGCTATCAACCAAAGGGAGAGTGTACTGCTAAGCAGTCCGCTCCGTCCTCTTTTATGGCTGTGAGACCTGGCCATTGAGAGTGGGAGACATGAAAAGATTAGCTGTCTTTGATCATAGGTTTCTGCGTTCTATCTCCCGTGTGAAGTGGTATAATAAGGTGAGCAATATTGAGGTTAGGCATCGAGTGCTAGGTAAGCAGGGGAAATTAATCAACGAGGCCGTGAAATTACGTCGACTGAGATGGTTAGGACATGTGTTACTTATGCCTAGCAATTCATCGCCTTCCTCGACAGTGGGCAATGTTAGCTGACATAGGATTGGTCAGGCTGGAAAATAGCTAGCGGCGGTCAAACCAAAACATGGCACCAGTCAATGAAATACACAACAGTTAGTCTAAGCCACGTAAGAAGGTGTAGACTCCCTGGTTGGGGTCCTCGGGACGGTAAAAACCAATGGTTGGAAACTATTGGTGACATGGCTAAAAATCGTTCTCAATGGCGCATATGAATCGACTCCTTGTGACTTATGATTTCCAATGAAACTATACTGTTCTTCGTTATTACTATTCCCTTGTCTCACGCCTCTGTTTACTGTCTATATTATGCATTTCTCCTACTTTCTTCTCTTACTTTGTGTGCTACATGGAGTGTGGCGACTTGAACTGCAAAGTTCTATGACGAAAACATACGGACAGACAGACCGGGAGAAGAAGCAAGAAGAGCTGATGACTACTTGACAAAGGAGTTAGACAATAGTCTAAACAGTTGACAGCAGTGCTGCTAATTGTACTTGTTCTGAATAACCATTACAAAACAATAAATTTACTGTGATAAGTTTAAAGAGTTCACAACCAGTGAGAATCCGACCTTCAGAAGTACATGAGTGTACCGAAACAGCAAAATAAAGTTATTTTAGTGTTACAGGTCAAAGTTAGGGCTGAATTAGGAGCAAATGAGACACACACACACGACACAAAACAATTTAGGGAAGACAAAAAGGAAAGAAAATGAAAGAATAATAAAAAATCAACCTGAAATTCATTCACCAGTGCCAAAACCAATGCAATCTGGCAAATATATAGCAAGGATTATATACCGAACTGTACAAAAAAATTTTATTATTAATCATCCGCACTATGGCTGTCAAAACTCACCCAGACAAGTATATTGGTCGATACCAGAAGTGAGTGCAGATCGCTTTTCTACACGTCTCAAACATTATATACTACAGGTACACCGACTACAACAAGGTGAAATAAACTAGTCACAATAAAGTGGTTAATTAACTCTCTTTTTTATTCCTCTACGTTCCCAGGGGAGCATAGGGGGCTACAAACTACAGCTTTGAAGTTTCGTTAGTAGTGGTGTTTTACTTTTACGGGATGAGGTTGCTAGCCTCATGCCCTACCTTCCCTCTTTACCAGTCTTATTACTGACTTAGTGAGGTAAAGAAGTGCGTCACTAGGCTGGGGATCGAACCCCGGAGCATTCTACTACTGTACCACCGATGCGATTAATTATCTTAGAAAAAAACAACTAAATATTTGATAAAACTTACCAAAACAATGGAAGGAGATATCGTTGGCTGAAATCCGGTACTCGAGTGATAAGGTGAGCAGATGTTCGTGTATCTGAAGTCGAAATGAACCAACACACAAATAAGAAATACCAAGTGAAGAACGTCTTACCATTAGGTTGAACTGAACTGGTTGATTTCTTATCCTCTTTTCCAGATTCCTTATATTTGTAATAAAACAGACTGAATACTCTTTTACCGAATTTCAAGTTTCCACAAAAGTAAAGACGTCCACAATCTGTAAACTGGAATAGTATAATATATTCATTACAAATATATATATATATAAAGATTAATTGCTTCGCTAGAGCTGACTCTCATGTTTCGGTTAGTCTAGTAAATATCTCTTTGACGCTCGAAACGATGAGATCTTAGTTTTAGTCTCATTAGGAATGCCGACTAATTGAACGACATGCAGGTACACATGTAACGACAGAAGGCAAGAGTCAGGCTACAGATCATTTATTAAGGAAATCAACGCATATTCATATATGTTTTCATGTAGATTACTATGGATACGTAAACAAACAAACATAGTCTTCCGATTGGTTGTTTCTCACGTCAAATCTTGGGAACGTAAATATTGACGTAAATTACTGTCTACCAATTTGGCTAGTAGACAGCTCTCACCACACACACAGCTCATGTGTCCCAAATAAGGTTTCTTGCATTTGGTGCGTACATTATGCCTGTCGATAGTGTGATGTCCTACTGAAGGAATAAATGAATCTCTTTCCTTCCTTATCTGTTGTCGTATTTGAAATTCAACGTAGTTTTATTGCACAGGAATGTATGTTTTCAAGTCTCTCTCTGTACATGCTGAAAATACATGTCAATTAGTGCATACTTTATTCTATAGTGTGGCATTACTAATACCATGTACCAGTCTGGAATGTGCTGAAATGCAGATTTTCATTTCACCTTCATTATTCAATACATAAATAAGAGCCTATCAGACAGACTATTCTTGGTAGTTTCGACAGTAAATTTTACATCGTAATTATGTTGACGTGGAATAATAGTGAACCAACTCTGTGTGTGTGTGTAATTTATTATTATTATTCTTGTTGCCTTTAATTCCTAGAGGAACATAGGGATTCAGCCGCACGTCTCCATTCCTTTCGGTTCTCTACCAACGTTTTCATCTGGCTCCACGTCTGCCCATATGCTTTCATCTCCTCTTCACATGACCTCCTTCATGTCACCATCGCACCGACGACTAACTCGCTGCCTACCATTCGGGTTCCACTCCAGCAATGGCCTGGCGTGTGATGTCACTTGATGGTTCTCTCAGAGTACGGCCAATCCACCTCCATTTCTACCTGCATATTTGTTGCACAGTCGGTGCCTGCTGCGTTGGTTCGCTCATTGCCAGAGATCCCAACCTGTTGCCGATCTTTTCTGGCTGGCCATCTGACCTTGAGTAGTATTGAGCGAAGACAGCTGTTGACAAAGCTCTGTAGTTTGTTCGAAGTGCCCTTCGTGACGCAGCACTAAGTCCCTGATCCGTATGGTAAAGAGCACTGACTTCACATTGGAGTCAAAAATCCGGATCTTTTTTTCATGCTGAGTGCTGTTGACCTCCACACAGACTTGAGAGAAATGAAAGCTTGCCTTGCTTTCTCGATCCTCGCTTTGATATCCTCATCAGTTCCGTCCGCCTGTAGTTGAAACGATGCTTCCCATATCAGTAAGTAGGTAAAGGAGATTGCTTCTTTCAGATTAACCCCATTTATGCTGGCTGGTTGTTGTCTGTTGTTGTTGCCGGTGGGACCTTCATCACCTCTGTTTTCCCTAGGTTTACCTGAAGTCCTATCTTCAATGGATGCTTCTTCTGCCAACTTGTCGTTTCTCACTTGCATATCCTCCAGTTTGTAGGAAATCAGACATATACCATCGGCGAAATCCAGATCCTCTAAATTCCTTTTAGTGTTGGTCCATTTTATGCCTGTCTCCTGGCTGCCCACTGTGTTTCTGTCTCATTATCCAATCTACTGCAATCAGGAAAATCATTGGACATAGTGGGCAACCAGCTTGTCTTACTCCTGTCCTCACTTCGAAGGATTCCGTAAGTTTCCCGTTGTGGGTTACTTGGCAAGCAGCATTATCGCACAACTGTTGCATGAGGTGTATAACTGTGTGGTGGCACCCCGTAGTAGCGAAGTGGTCGCCAAATCAATCTCTCGATCGACGCCGCACTATCGAAGGCCTTTACAAAGCCGATGAAGCTGAGGGAGGCAGAGAGCTGACTGCCATTCGAAGCTCTGGTCAATGATGATACGCAGTGTTGCAATTTGATCGATGCATGACTTGTTTCTCCTGAATACAGTCTGTTACAGTCGAAGTTTTTCATCAAGGGTGTGTTCCTTTCTCTCCAGGATCATGCGACTTAGTATTTTGCTTGGGATGGACAGGAGCATAATTCCGCGACAGTTCTCGCATTGACCTAAGTCTCCTCTCTCCACCAGTTTCAATAGGTATCCTTTCTTCCAATCGGCAGGTACCTTGCGTAATTTAGTGTAATTTAGTTACTGATATAACAAGGCTTTAGTGATTAATTCAAAATATCCCGCCTCTGTTTTTGCTTTCCATTCCGCCTTCATATCACAGTTTATAAAAACCTTACAGTGAGAATTTAATGAGCATAAAAGCTGTTCGTATTTTGCTTTCCATTGCAGTTGCTTTTCGTTTTTATTCTATTTCTTCCTCTACATTTTATGCCCCCCCCCAAGTGACTAACTGTGCTTTTTACCAATTCTTGTGTCTGCAACCTTGTCTGTTGTGGTGTTGTTACCAGAAAACATTACACTGACTACTACTTGCAAATTGGTGTCATTTAGTAGCATACACCGCAAGCCAAGTTAACAACCCCTTAGTAGCACGTCTAGGAGACAAAATGTTGATGACAGGAAGTATAAAATACTCACCTTGGATTCAAAGTAAACCAAAATACTTAAAATACAAAACTAATTAACAAATGGAACACTTACAGATACAATGTCATCCTTTATTATCCAACTGATTAAAAGATTTTCCAGTTCTTGTGTAAATCTATCCAATTAAAATATAACGTAAAATCATATAGTAGTTACTCATCAGTTTGAAAAGAATCAAATATTACAAAATCTAAGCATAAATAAAATAAATATGCACAGATTGATGAAAACTTATCCTTTTTCAATGCCCACTTTTCTTTTACCGAACGAGATAAATCTCATTTTCGAAATAGAAAGGTGTTTAAGACTATCACTTTATAGGACTGACTGACTGGTTTCGACGAAGAACTTTGCACAGATGTACAGCAGTTCCAGTTGCCACGCACCATCTCTCTCCTTGTAGCACACAAAGCAAGATAAGAGATCGAAAGACATTCAAAAGAGAGATAATAAATAGAAGTATCAGTGAGGGAGAAAGAATAGTAATGTGGAAGCACAGTAGATTTTTATTGGATATGATAAATAAACCACAAAGAGTAAATGCATCTGCACTGTGCATTCAGAACGAGGATTTCGAGCCATATCACCAATTGTCTCTAGCCTTCATTGGTTTTTACCATCCCGAGGAACCCAACTAGTCAGGAAGTATGCACCTTTCTACGTGGCTTAAATTAGCTAGTATGGATTTCATTGACTGGTGAAGCCATGTTTCGGTTTGACCAACATTGGCTAGCTGTTTATCAACCTGATCAATCCTATGTCAGCTAACATTGCTCGTCGATTGAGGAAGGAGATGGCTAGGCATGCGTAACACATGTCCTAACCATCTCAATCGGTGTAACTTCACAATCTCATCGACTGATTTCCTCTCATCACCTAGCACTCGAAGGAAGCCTAATCTCAATATTGCTCACTCTATTATACCACTTCGCATGGGAGATAGGACGCAGACACTTATGATCAAAGACAGCTAGCCTTTTTCTTTCTTCCACTTCCAATAGCCTTGTCTCACAGACATAAAGGAGGACGGAGCGAACTGTGCTGCTGAGGATTACACACGGCGGCCAGTCGACAGCCAGCCGGATATCACGTCTGCTAGACCAGAGGTGGCGTAAGTTGGCATTTGCGAAACGAGCCGTCTGTATCCGTATCCGTGCTGAGATTTCGTCAGCGATCAACCAGTTGGCGTTGGCTGATGCAACTTCCCAAATAAGTGAAGTGGTCAACACGTTCCACAAACCACTTCACTCCCTATTTCCAAGGTAGGAGTCAGTATAGTCCAGTCAGTCCTGTAGCATCATCTTACATTTGACAGCACGAGTGAATCTCGCATGCCAAACATTCGCAGATTGCAGCTCCTCAAGGTGTTCAGAAGACTCTGCATTTTGTCAGCGTCTTCATCTAGGAGGAGGAGGAGGATTATACCATCTGAATATTCTAAGTCAACGAGATTATTCCTTCCCTGGTAACAACAAGTCGATCCCTGAGTCGCTGATTTCTTTTAGTTAATAATTTGTGTCCAGTGAGTACATCACTTCAATGCCAATCTATCTAACAAATATAACCAACCATATATCCTACTTAAAGTAGATAGAGTAGAAATACCTCAAAATACTTAAATGTTATGATACTACGACATGCTAACTTACACTTCCCAGTCTGTTACAGCTGTATAGTCTTCAAACGTTTCTCCACTTCTTTCCTACGAAAAAGGACAGTGAATATTTTAGATGAAACATTTCAGGCTTTAAAATAAGAAGTTCAGTGTATTGTCTTTATTTGAAAATTTACCATCAATGAAAACTTACTGTAAATGTACATTTACTCATCGATTCAGTCATATTCTCATCTCTGTTTGTTTTTCACAGATAAATTCTGTAAATAAAAAAAGAATTGAAAAACTCGATTAAACACAAGTTACTAATGGATGTAACAGACATGTAACAGTATTAAAGTGCTTTACAATGCATAAACGACTTCTATCCTACAGGTTATCTGTAACACAAAGCAAAATGAGGGGAGACTAAAAATTAAAAAAATTCTTGATTTCAGTTTCACAGCTGAAATGTGTGATGACACCCAACGTGAAAGACAAGGAATGAGCTATGCTAAGGTGGAACACCAATCCAATCGTTGTTAAAAGTGTGACTGTGTGTTTCACAATTCACGCAACATTACTACAATCCTAATAGTGTTGTTGTACATCAGGGATTGTAAGCTTACAGTGACACGTCATGACAAAATAAATCATTATGGCACCACTATACTTCCAATGTTCTCAATATTTTCTAAATGTATCATGTATCCGTTTCTTATTCTCATCATATTATTCGCTTAACGTACTTTTAGCTGTTATTTCTTCGGCGGACTTTAATGCCGAGGTGACCGCGGTTTTATTTTACCTTCAGTCATCAATCATCAGATCAGTGCGAATCGGTCAGTCCACGGTCATGTAAGATAGTCTCACTAGCAAACACACAAATCACTGATCACTTCAAAAACGATCAATATTTCGATTTGACACACTTGATAGTCTCACTATAGAGGAAAATCAACCCCGCGTGTAATTATTTCAGGCTGTAGTCAGAGAAGTAAAAAGTACTTCTAAAGAACAAATAAGCGGATACCTATAGGACAACAGCTGCTTGCCTTACAAAGCAACTTCTCTATTAGTTATAAACACGTTGACATCGTAACGAATAATTGACACGATATGTTTCGCATTGTTTACTACATCACTGAATGCTGTCAGTGCAACTACTTTTAGTGAGGCTTTCATCTACTTGTATCTACTGTTGTGCCTACGGAATCTTGAAAAATACCTCAGGTTTTAAAAGGTGTGAGGACCTCCCGACAGTGAAGTAACTCAATGGATTTCTGCGTTACACTCTCAGATTTGGCGAACCAAAAACCAAAAAATATGAATTGACAGAGGTTAAAATTCATGGGTCGTTGGATCGGGTCCCAGTGGCTTAATGGTCTACGAACTCGCCTTGAAACCAGAAGGTCCTGAGTTCGGTCCTATGGTGAATGCGTACTGATTAAGAGTCCCAATCTAGGACAATGGAAACAGCTATCCAGTACTCCCAGGTTTCCCAATGGTTCTCTAAATGATATCAGCTGATCAATAAATCCTCTAGCCAATCAGAAAAACAGAATAAGTTTTTCACTGCCATAGGATTGCAACGAAAATGAGGTTGATTGTGATGCACAAACAGACGATACCCAAATACAACCACTCTTTATCCCAAGACACCACGTCACGTCACGGACAGATCATCTCTCCGCTTTTCGCAACCAATTATAGGGCTACAAAATGTTACGTAAGCCGTTGTGATGGCAGCCAATGAAATCGGAAGCCCTACATGAGATTACTTAAAGTAAGGAGACCTCTACCTCAAGGTTATTCACTTGGCGTCGCCATCTTACAGGCGCGGATAGTAAGACATGAGTAGTTACTGCACAACCTTAGGCCGGAATGAACAGGTTTTGCAATAAGAGAAAATAACAGTATGTTGTGAGACGCTTTATAGACCAAGTCCGCCTAATATGCTTTGTGTACGACTCCCAGAATAATGACAACCTTCTCAGGAACACTCAACTCTGCCAAACAGTTCTAAAGAGAAGTCTTGTGTAAAGAATAAAAGCTAACCGTTGTATCAAGAAATAATCATTGTCCCTGCGCTCGAAATGTCATAATATTCAAATAATCAGTGGACTTACGGTCGAAACACCCATGGATCAAACGAAACCCAGTCTATTATTTGTGAACCAGCTTTACATGTATTTCGCAAAGTATGTGAAGTGAATCGGTAGTCAGTATTCCGGTTAAACTGGTAACAGACCAATAATCTAATCAATGTCAGGTGCATTACACAACCCACTTCGAATATAAGCACAACGATTTCATTTTACATTGATCAATCTCCCAACCATAGCTTCTTAAGCAATACTGTCAGTTTAGCCGCCAATCTAGCCAGCATCTTTAAAAATAGTTCAAACAGGTACTATATGATACCTGAGTACTGACAGGTCTTTTCCGATATCCGCTTCATTGCCTGTTAGAACTGTAGTCTAGATTGGATTTTTTATAAACATTGCGGAGTGGCATTTAATATGTCAGGGCTGATGACTTCATTCAACTGTTCACTCAAAAGAAGGTGAGGTGGAACTGGGATCCACTGGTTCAACGTGCCTAGATCGATAAGCAACACCCGCCTTATATAACAAGCAATCTGTTTTGAGTTGTCACGAGAGATCTGATTGTTTCCCTATGTGGATTAACTTATCTGCTGCTTGTGATTCGTAGGCAGACCAAGTTGTTAACTAACTGCAGGCAGGTGAATATGTCAGAGAATATTGATCGCAACATCCCGCTGTAGTACCGTAACATTTCATCACTTTATTCTGCACCGATCCCAGGAGGTTGGTCAGTTTTCTAAAAGACAACAGAACTACATTGTGACGCCTAAGACAGAGTCAGCAAATAGGTGATTTCCTGTTGTCTTCGAGGACTGGGACAGCCATTCCCTTCCGGAATATAATCTGGCGAAATTATGATAATAATAATTTGCTTTATTCCAGAAACAGTACTAGTGAAACAGTGTGGAATTTTCAGCACAATATCTACAATATTTGCATCTAATGTTACAAACATTTAAAAGGAGTATTCAACAGAAAATAAATCTAAAGACACCAACAGCAAAAAAACAGGATAAACACAGAAATAATTATAAATGCGGAAAAGTACCAAGAAGTAGAAAGGAAAATAAACATCATATAATAATAACTCAGTATTGGGTAGTGGAAGCTATGATATGATTATGCATGGTGACAGTAATGCTATACAAAAAGATGATAAGTTGTGTAGAAATTTCATCCGCGAATCAGTTTTGTAAGATTGGATATTACTGGAGCAAATACCATTACCGTCACGGTTTCACTCTTGTGATTTGTTGCATGACTCTATCTATCTACCTATCCATACATGTATGTGCCTGTATATATAAGCTAAAGGTTACACACATAAACCATGCATAAATCTTGTGTAACAAAGAAATCATCACATCAGTCCCTATCGTTCGCATCATCATCGTCGTTGGCATCTGCAGCTGCATCAGCATCAAATATGTCTAGACGGAGTGATCGTTTACTGCCTATTCATCCGAATAATTTGAACAAAGTGATACGCGGGGAATGGGAGTCAATTTCACAATGGTTATGCGATGTCCTGTCATCTGGTGATGTTCTGTGTGTGTGTGTGAAATTAGTCCAGTATTCAGTTCAATTCAAAGATTTATTGACGTTTTTGGAATGCGTCTATCTATCTAAAACGCATCGAGTGGCTTCGATTCGTTTAGTTGTAGCGTATATCTGCCGTCCAAATATTGATACGCAAGTTAGTAACAGTGCAATGGAATCATTAAAGAAACTAATGAGTAAACCACACTCATCTGCTATGTCTATTGACTGGAAAATGTTTTTCGATATTTGTACATGGGCTGAAGAAAGGTTGGAAACATCATATCAAGTTGTTAAATGGCCTAAGTCACGAATTGATAAACTGTATCATTCCAATATCGCTTTATGTTCAAAATTCTCTCCGAAGACGTTAATTGAAGAAATATGGTTAACATTGCGTCACAGTATTTGTAGTGATTTGATTACTGGGTCGCCTTGTACGCTATTGCATAAATTCTTGATTTATACACCATTCTATCCTAAATATTTTGATGATGAGATTAGTCGTGTCTGGCTACCAGACATATTCGGTATATGGCATATCCAACCAAGTTGTAGATCCCATCATGAAATTGAAATTATCATTGAAATATTATGCAAAGTTTCACATATTGGTCGTGGACGTATCGATTGGGAACCGCATATGGAGCGTATATTCACTGCAGTGTTTCGAGGCATTACGCTTGGAAATACACCATTGTCTTCTAGGCGGCCTGCTTAAACCTTGGGCTACCAAAATTTCCATCCTATATATTGCATCTATTTCCTCGTATTTATTTTATTTTAATCATTCAATTATGTGTACTAATCGCATTGTTTACTCTCGCGGTTATTTAAAAAGTTTCCAACCGGCTAATTTACTCGTTTCTAACAAACTTAAGAAAAAGCCTCATGGTGGATGGCAACGAGCTTTAAAGCGTACTCCGATGCATTTAATGACTGTTCCTGTGATTATGAGCACAAATCGCAGATCTCTACCAAACAAGATTAATTATTTGCATTCTCTATTATACTCAAATGTATATTGTAACACTGCTGTAATTACTCTTCAAGAAACTTGGCTGCACGATTCATATGACGATAATTTGGTCTCTTTACCTGATTTTACAATGTACAGACAAGACCGATGTAGCTCAAAGAAGAAGAGAGGTGGAGGTGTGGCCACTTTTATTAATTCTCAGTGGTCTACTGCCAACAACGTCTGCTTCAAATTCTCAAATGACAATATTGATTGTATAACTATTAAATGCCGACCTAGACACTTATCTAAGTATAACTGCATTTTTGTCACAAATATCTATGTCACACCTTCTTGCAGTCCCTCAGAACTATCGATCTTTGCCGACGAATTCACTATTTTTGCTGCTTCTTCGTTTGGTAACTCCTTGCCTGTAGTAACTGGTGACTTCAACGCCAGTGACTACAGTTTTATTACATTGCTGGGTCATGAAAATGTGGTTAACTTCCCAACTCGACAAGATACTTCGCTTGATTTAGTATTCATAAATGATTCTGGAATATACGAAGCTCGTAAAAGAGCTCCACTCTCAAACTCTGACCACTGTATTGTACGAGTTCTACCTAAAGTTTACGGAAAGTTACACAAAAAAGCCTTCTCTAACTTGTCCAAGAAAGTTGTTCACAGATGTTACTCAAATGAGAATGTACATCTTAGAAACATGCTCAGTGACACAAGATGGGATCTGTTTAATGATGTTTCACTTGATGACACAATCTCTAATATTACGTCTTATCTGAAATTCTGTTTTGAAGTCTGCTGCCCAAAAGAAACATTATTCGTCAAATTCGACCGTTTCTCCTCCCCTCAACTTAAAAAGCTTCGTAGAGAGAAGGAAAAGCTATATAAAATGAAAGATAAAAGTGGCGTAAAAAGAACTAACTTCCTTATCAAGTCTGAAATGCAGAGATTGAATGTTATATATAGCCAGAAATTCATATCCTGCAAAAATGCTTCAAATATATGGAAACTATTTAAGGAAATCACTGGTGGTAAGCAGGTAAACAATATTCCGTATTCTTCTGATGTATGTACTCTTAATAAATCTTTTATTTATTCCCCCTCAAATTCCATGCTTCCCAGTATCACTAGTGTTAATAATAGCCCCTTTCCAGGTTTTAACACAAATGATGTTCAAAAGTGCCTCAAGTCTCTGAACCCTTCCCAGAGCTTAGGTCCAGATCATGTACCTAGTATTATTTTCAAAAAATGTTCTGATATTCTATGTTACCCTCTCACTGATCTGTTTAACAAATCTTTTTCCAGTAATATTGTGCCTGCTGTTTGGAAAGACATTAAAGTTGTACCCATACCTAAATCGTCTACTGGAGCATGTGTCAAATTTAGACCCATTGCTATTACCTCTCCTTTTTTGAAAACTATGGAGAAACTACTTTTACTTA